GTGGGCTTTCACCTAAATGAGAAATAGATTACAAGCAAGTGATTGTGAGTGATTGATGAAGTGCGTGTGCATGGTAGATTGATCGTGTGTGTGTGTTTCAATGGCATCGTGTTCAATAGAGTTGTGGGGTTTTTCATAAATGTGTTAAATCCTATCTAAAGATTTTTCAAAAAATGGCCGTCACTACACAACACACTCAGAGGTGTGTCAAATTTGTTAATCAACAACTTGATTTACTCAACGAAGAGAGGAGAACCATGGAAGGAGCTGCAGATGATTTTATGCATCAGGTAATAATTAGTGAAGAAATTTCTTTACATCAAATATAAATGCTTTAAAAAAAATCACTAAAATCAATTCCGACCTCTTTAACTTTTCTTTAATAAATAATTTTTTTAAAATAATTAAATATATATATATANTGTATACATGTGTGTGTGTGTGTTTGTGTGTGTGAGTGTGTGTGTGTTTTAATCTTGATTTTTTTCCATAGTAAGATGTACTATTTTCATTATTTATTGGAGGTACAAAGTGAAGTAGACACTTGGGTCACTGAAGGACTAGCTAATCATTCCTCCTGTGATGAGATTACCATTAGAATTCAACAGGCGATCACATTCTTCATTACAAAATCTGTTGAAATTTCAGGTACAACCCAGTATGTCTTTTAAATCATAGCATATAATAAATTCAAGAATAGGCCTAGTTTTCAATTAGCCAATTCTCACATTATTTTAAAGAATTATATATTTCAAATTTGTTTCCTTAATTAAAAACAACACACATTATAAGAAACTAAATGGAGAACATTTTATTTTTTTTATTTTTTGTGACTTGCATTTTAAAACATAGTTAGGCTGTGTCCACGTCAACCTATTCCAAAATATTAAAAACAAGTTTAGCCACACATCATTCAAAAGCACTGAAATCGGAATGTTGCTTTAAGCAGGAGGAAACGAAAATTGATATGCATTTAAGTCATGAGTTTTGATGTGGACCCCTAATGATATAATAAATGGCTCCACAAGACACGAACAGGTCATAATCTTTTGCGTGCGCATAGAGCAAATTAAATACAAAGAAACATAGATTTAATTTCATTAAAAAAATGTCCCAAAATAAAAATATAAATTCAAATGAACTTAACAGAAAATCAATTTCAAGTACCTCAAGTTGAACAGGTTCTCCAACTAGGACAAAAACTTAAAGATGGAGAATACATTTTTAGTAAAACAGGCGTAGTTGAAGGAGACAAAAATAGTTCTAACTAAATCGTTTTTTTTTTTTTAAAAATGGGAAATAGTAGAACAGGATATATGACTGTTTCAAAATGCTAATTTTAAGAATTTCGAATTCCTTTATTTGGTGTTTCATATTTTATTTGCTGACAGAGGCATCTAGCCGAAACGTGTTTTTTTTGTGTTTTTTTAAGCTCCTAAATATCTTGCTCTATTATTTCCTAAAGACGGCTTAACTGCAGTCATTTACATTTTTATTTTTAAAAAATATACTGCAAGCATTTTTGTTAAATAATATTTTTACAACTAACAAATAAGAACATAAAAAAAAGTTTGCATTATAAAATGTTGAATTTTTGTTTTAATATAATTTATTCAAAAATAACGTTTGGAACCAGTTGAATTAAAATTAGGTATACGTAATTCTTTTTATCGAAACCCCTTAATTAATATTTCATTCAATATAATTTTAATCGTTACATTAAATTAAATTTTAAATTTAACGGGGGCAAATTCTTTTTAATGTTCGATGCAGGCCCGTGATTGAATTTTCAAGCCATTACTCATTAAATTTCACGATGAAATAAGGACTGAATACAATTATTACACTTCTATATATTTGAAGCAATGTGGCCCATTGCTCTTTCAACAGATTTATATTTAATTAAAAAGATCCACACAGATCTTCATCTACAGCTCGCCGCGCTACATTAGTTTTTAATTTTCATGTCTTTTTGTGTTTTTTCTTTCTCTCTTTTCTTTATTTTTTTAATTTATAAATTTCTTCATAGTTCGTTCAATCAGCATTTAAAGAAGTAAAGTCACTTATGAATGACTTAAAGTTAAACGCTATTTTATTCATGGTTAACTTCAGACAAAATGTATCCTCTTCCGAATTCGTATATGAAATACTCATGAAAAATATACCCACACTTTTCAATGACCCAACTTGGGGGGGTCACAGCCTGGTTAAAATACCCCTTTCGTGAAAACTTGCTTAGCGATTGGGCCGCAGGAGAAACCTGACAACAGCTCAATCGGAAGATTCAACTACTGAGCAAGAATGACCCTTGGTGAAAACTCAAGCTGGGCGACCAAAGCCTCATAACCCAGATGAGGTCAGGCCATTGCGCGACGCTCAGCCTCCTCCATAATCTTGATGACAGGGTGGAACCAAACAGCCGATTGTGTGGCCAGACAGAATTGACAGTATCTCACTTGTTGGTCGCCTGCCCCGGTGGTGGGAAGAGGGTGGAGGGTCGAGAACAAGAGACCCGCCCGGAAGATACGATTTACGACGATGCTCACCAGATGAGGCAAGCCACCCCAATATTAGCCAGGGCTATAAGAGAGTGATCTCAGCCCAAAAAGAGGATGCACCATTTGAAAGTGTGGTGAGTCGGGTATCATTCTCGATCCACGTTATATACTATAAGGTATTTATTTTTACACGTATTATACATGAGGTATGGTTATTGTGATTAAGTGGTGAACACGTCATGCACCGCCCCGGGCGTCACAAACTCGTGCAATACCCCCCTAAAGATTACACGAAGAAGACTTAAAATATCGATGTCTGAAAGGAAATTTTAAATTGAAATAAAATGTGTGAAGGATAATCAGTTTTTTTTTTTAATGTTTCTGAGAAATCTAAACAAATTAGGTCATTGTGAAATAGGGATAATTCATTTTTAGCGCAATTAACTCGCAAAATGTATTTTTTTAAATAAAATGCATACCAAAAATATCGACTAGGGGAAAATGAGTCAAATACTTAGAAACATGTGTAACACCTTGAGCAGTGACTAGAGCCCTGCCTCAAATAAAACTAAACAATCTCAAATAAAAATCCCAAACACACTGTTAGTGATAGTCTTCAAATTTTGTTACACAGACAATATTATCTATCTGATATGAACTGTTTGAAGTATCGAGGTAAAACGACTAGAATTTCGCCAACATTAAAATAGATATGCTATTTTTGGGTGGTAAATGCACGCCATACAGGAACCCCTCTTTGCATGATCTCTTGCTGTTGACATGGCCGACATCTATGTTGCCATGACTACCATCGTCCTGGCAACAGAGTTGGCGGACTTGTTAAAAAAAAAAACATGTGTAAAAGAGGGATAGGGAGGGGAAAGGGATAAGATGTATTTTAAATACACATTGCAATTATTGTTATTATTATTGTTGTGGTCTTATATAGCGTTGTACCCCAGCCAAGGGCCAGGCTCAGCGCACTTTACATAAAAATAGTATAAGCAAAAGAGGCATAATAGTTGTGGCATTAAAATAAAATATATTTATGTAATTGAAGCGTAATAAAAAAAACTGCTTTATAAGAACAACAAAAAAAAAAAAACCCTAAAATAATGAATGTATCTTCGCCCCGCCTACCTCACAGAAGTCAGCATCCCTAACTCAAGTGAAATCTTTAAACCTAACTTCAGTCTTCTCTTTTAAACCTAACTTCAGTCTTCTCTAACTCAAGCCAAACGGTTCAACTTTAAATGTTAATATCCCTAACTCAAGAGTTATCTTCAAATCTAAATTTATGCCCCCCCCCACCTCCATCTCAAGCACAATCTTTAAATCTAAATTACATGACTCCCAACTCAAGCGTATTTTTTTTAAACTAAATTTTTAACACCCCCCCCCCCCGGTCCTCCCACCCCCGCCTCCCTCGATGTAATGTTGTCATTGTTACCAAGTCACNGGGGGGGGGGGGGGGAGGGGGTGTAAGAAAGTGCGACTGATTTCGGAATGTAACGTTTGATGTCCTGTGGTCATCCACTCTTCTAATCCAGACGCTCAACCTTGGGACATCCGAGTACCACACATACCAGTGTAACTGATAACAAACACTTGATATATCGATTTGAGTTCAATGTATAATTTTAATATTATGCCTTGTAAGCCTGTCACATCAGTGTACTTCACAATATAAACTTGTAAACTTATCAACTTTCAACTTCACGATCTGTCTAGCTGAATCCTCACACCTAGAAAGCTAAGCCTTGAACATCTCACAACAAGCTATGTCCTGAACAGCACACAACGGCCATCTCTATCCTTCCATCAACAACAACTAAACTAACGCGTCATATCCCCTTACACAATTACGTCACAACACTCTCACACAAACGATACAGCTACACGTAAAATCTCTAACTAACATCTTTCCCTATTAAACATGAAAACAATTATTTACTTGTAACAACAGTGATTCTCACAAACTTCACAACTGTAACGGGGGGGGGGGGAGGGAGGGAGGGGCAGGCCAATTGTGACGTCACACATTTATTTTTTTAAAATTTTATTTCTATTTTTTTTTTTTAGCAGAATTTAATAGCTTTAAAAATAATTTTCAACATTTTTTTGAAACATTTGAATTAGTTTTATGTCAAAATAGCATGAAATGTTTATCTCCTGAATGTGTTGTTCATGATTCCTCTTGCTAGGAGCGCTAGTACGCTTTTGCGAAGCCTTGTTCAATGTATAGCCTTGCTTTCGTCATGCCAGAAGTAATATTATTTCTACGTTGTCCGCTGCAATTATATCACTGTCCTTTTTATTTATCACTGGTTGAGGCCATGTTTCGCTAATCTACTTTTTATCCTGTGTAAAAAGATTGCATAATCGGAAGATTATCTAACACTTGACCTCACCTATTGTAAATGAAAAAGCAGCAGATAAATGATGTGTATTAAATAATTATCTAGTCAATTTTTGCAATTTTTGTTTTCGAATTCAATCTAGATTGAGTTACTGCTTCAATGAATAGCTGTGACAACTGTTGACAATTAAATATTCTATCATTAAAGTAATTTTAATAATGTGATAGTTCTTTCAAGTGGAAATTTTATATTTTAATACAGTTAAATAGTGAAGTATGTTTTAGATTAAATTTTAATTAGGTGTTATTAAAAAAAAATGTGACTTACTTTGGGGGGTGGGGGGGTCTGAGATTTGTGTAAGTTTGTGACCCGGGGAGGGGGGGGGGAGGAGGGTTAAAAATGGTCTAAAATAGTGTGACGTACTTTTTGGACGGCCACTTAGTTTGTTATTCATATATATTTATTTAAGTATTTAATTAATTTATTCTCATTGTTTGTGTTTATGAATAGCTAAAAAAATAGCCACCGTATTTAACATGTTAGTATTTTCATTAACATTTACAGTTATCCGAAATGGCCAGCAAGACACAAGCTCAGAGATTTATAAACTTAATAAACCAGCAAATTGATATACTTAAGGGAGAGAGGAAAAGTGTACTAGAGGCTGTAGACGATGCTATCAATCAGGTAGATCATTTTTGGAGTTCATTTTGTTTTTAAATATTAAAAAGTTAAATTATTATTCAGCACATTTTAATTTTAAGAAACTAAACATTTTACAAAACGATATTACATTTTGTTTAAAAATCGCGTTCTTGATCTATAAGAATATATGTGAGTCAGTTAAATATAAAGCTTACATAAAACCATTAAAATGAGTTTGGTTTCAATTGTCATCTTGTATCGAACGTGTAGGTACAACTTGAAGTAGATACCTGGGTGAATGGAGGACTTGTCAATCAAACTACATTTTCCCAAATGAACAACAGAATTACTCAAGTTATAGCGTTGTTCATGACTAAGTCAGAAGAAATCTCAGGTAATCTAAATAAAAGTGTCAACAAGTATTTGTTTGATTCCATATATATTAATCTTTCATGAATACATGAAATGATGCATTTGATTGTTTTACTTTTAAAAAAAAAATATTTTTTAAATATATTTTTAAAAACTTTGTTATCAAATAAAAGGTGATGGAATTAAGGCAAAAACCATTTTTAGTAAAACGATATTTAAAAAATCGCTATCGCAAATTTTAATTTTACTCAATTCCTTTTATTGATAAATATAAAACAAAATGTATTTAAATAAGGTAACTTAGGTAATGCATGTTTAATTATTAATTTTCTTTGCATCATAAGGTTTAGAGATTAAGGAAAATAAAAGTGATCTAAATCAAACACATGCGGCAACTAGCAGTGATTCGACAAGTCCTAAAACCAACTACACAAGGGAAGAAGCCCAAGATAGAACAATATTTAGTACAGAAAAAACACTAAATAAACCAGGTGAAACAATTTGTTAACAATCGCTCTTTTCGTAATAATTATGTTCGCTTGTTAGTATTAAAATATATTCATATTTTCAAAACTGCATCGTTAAATCTAAATTAAAAATATATTTTGATCTGTTTTTAAATACAGATGTAGATGCTTCTTACATTACCACTACGAGATTTGCCATATTAGAGGAAGCTGTATTCTCACTTAAAAAGACAACAGAACAGGTTCAAGATAAGCAAGAAAAATTCATTAAAAAAATGGAAATATTAACAAATGCAAATATAAAATCTAAGAAAAAATTTCAAGAAAGACTAACAGTACTTGAGAAACGAAACCAAGAAGTGTCCTCAAATGTTGATGATTTTTTTGAAAATGTATCAAATGTTGATGTCAAACTAAACAGATTAGAAGAAGAAAATAAGTCTGTCAATGTCTCAATGAAAGAACTCAATAAACAGATCAGCTCTGTTAGAACTTGTAGCAATGAAGCCCTTATGTCTGTACAAAATTTGTCAAAGAGCGTAGAGAGTACAAATCAACATTATAATGAGATATCTCATAAAATGAATGAGCTGGAAATGTCCAACAATCGCAAGTCAACTCAGTACACAGAGAAATTTGAAAGTAAAGGCAGTCTTAATAAGGACAAATTTGACGATGTGGTATGACTTATTCTGTTCCCAATAGTTTCATTTGTAAGCTATATTTCAAGAAAAAAAAACAATCGGAAATGTCATTGTGTTAGATAAGTTAATTTTAAAAGATGTCATTTGTTAAATTGGATCTTCAAATAAATTGTATTAAAATTCTTAGTGTAGTAATACTTAATAAAAGTTATTTACTATCTAAATATAATATTAGGTACAAATTTTTGTGAAGCAACAGCATGTTGAGTATTTTCATTAAAGTGATAATATACATTTGTATTAGATATAGTGCAATTTAAAAATTGAAAAGTCCATTGTTTTAAATGTTGAAGAAAAATTTTTGCATCCAGAATCTATTCAGTTTTGATGATAAATTAACCCTTTGCGTAGATTGGTATGGTTTGTCAGCTACTATCTAAACGACTGTTTCCTTTGGAGAAATTAAGTGAGACTTTAAACAAGAATGTCATCGTCAGCAAAGAACATGTTTCAGAGGTATGAGTGTACTAGTAACTAGATTTTTTTTTTACACTGTGTATTGTGGATAATTATTTAAATGTTATTTGTCTCATAGTTGTGAATTGAGGAATTGCATACGGTTAAAAATTTAAGAAAAAGGTAATAACAATAAAAAAAACACTAATTAATATAAAATATATTGCATGCCATTTGAAAACTTTGACTGGGCTGGTTTTGATTCAAATTTGCAAGGTTACATTTTGAGGTAACCATTTCTTTTCATATAATAGCAAAATTCTAACTGAAAATTTCACCCATGGAAACATTGTGTCAATGAATGACCATAGCTCAGATCTCACGACCGTCTATCATTACAAGCAACAAAAAGCTCGTTTAAACAAAGCCAACAATCTGTCAGCTAACTCTTACATACACAGGGTAGGCCACATAAGACTTGTCCAAGATTGCTATCTTTTGCATAATCATCGATGTGATCGGGAGATATTGAGTGCAACTCACTTTTGATTACGCAGAGAAGTACCGCTTGGTTGTAGCCACTCTAGTATTTGTGATACAAATTAAATTTATTAAAATTCATACGTTTCTCTACCGCCCATGTCGGGCTCTGACTTGCCTCACCTCTTTCTTCCGCTCAGTCCTAACTTATGCGTTTCTTTACCATGCTTGGCTTCCCAGATGCTCTCGATCTTCGTCCACTTCTTCAATACATTTAAGACTCGGCCTGCCTTCGAGCCGTTTTCCTCTAGGGATTTGGTGGCGAACCCACTTCATTATTGTTTTCTCATCTCTTTTAAAAATGTCCCGCCCAGCGTAGCCTGTCCTATTTACTTCTTCTTCCAGAATGAGGTCCCGATAAAAGGCATACGATTTCTTGTTGGTTCGTATTCTCTATCCATATTCTGCAGTTGTTGGTCGGTTTAATTTCCCAAGATCGTTTCTCTCTGTCTATCTTTTCTGACGTTTTTCTTAGGGTAAAAGTTTCAATATAAAATGTTGTTACGGATCTTATTACAGTTTTTATTTAATTTTCTTTGTTTTTCTTGCATTGCTTTTACTTGTGTATTTTATGACAACTGAGGTAAAGTAAAAAAAAAATAAGTCAGTCTATTGAAGTTCTTGAATCTAAATCACAAATGCAATCAACTATAAAACTCTATCTATCCATCTATCCATCCATCCATCCATCCATCCATTCATCCATCCATCCATCCATCCATCCATCCATCCATCCATCCATCCATCCATCCATCCATCCATCCATCCATCCATCCATCCATCCATCCATCCATCCATCCATCCATCCATCCATCCATCAATCCATCCATCCATCCATCCATCCATCCATCCATCCATCCATCCATCCATCCATCCATCCATCCATCCATCCATCCATCAATCCATCCATCCATGCATCCATCCGTCCATCCGTCTATCCGTCTATCTGTCCATCCGTCTATCCATCCATCAATTTATCCATCCATCTATCGATCCATCCATCTATCTATCTGTCATATATATGAAATTTAAACGATTGTTATACATTTCAAGGAAGCGGATGGTGGAGAAAAGGCTGCGCTACTACACGGCACTGCTGATACATGGCGCCGTGGTGGAACGCCTCCGCGGCGAGAAGATTGGCGGGGATATGGCCAGGAGGGGAGATTACTGGTTAAGAAAATGGCCCTTAGGGTAAATGTTCCGGAGGGGAAATGGCCCAGAGGCAAGACGGCTGGCGAGGAGACGGCGACGGTGAATTGGCGAGTGAGAAATTCCAATGATATGAGGTCCCATCACCCAGAGGGTCGGTCCAATTCAGAAACTCGAGGCACAATTTTGTAAAGAAATATCCTTAGGAGTAAGTAACTTATTTTCTTCCAACATTAGAATGTTGTAGAAAATGTGTTTGATTTAAATAGATTTTCAGAAAATTAATAGTTGTTATTCAAAGGATTTAGTTATAATGCATATAATTGCAATATTTGACGAAAAGTATAATCACTATGTTAAAAAAAAAACTGCTATGCAGACATTTTATTTGATCCATGAAAAAAAATTAAAAATACGGACATCATTTAGTCTCTCATCGCTCATTCAGCTTTAAATGCTATAACATTTCCATATAATATTATTTAATGAAAGGCATAAACATGCCTCAATTACTTGAAATTGTATATGTTGCTTGTTGCTCTACTTTTAGAATTGATCAAACCTATTCATCTTTTGATACACAATGTGTTAAATTTGCAATTTTTTCTGAATTAAATAATTGATCATTAACTTGATGTATTATTTTAGAATAAATAAGTTCTGTCATTGAGAAAATAATTAGAACCAGCATTATTAGTAAATCAGGATATTTATTTGCATATTTTTGAAGGTAGAAATTATTGACACAGAATTGGCGGAAATATTGAGCAAAGTTACAGAAATTGGAAAAGTTTCTTTAAAAATTATTACTCAAAAAAAATATTCAAAAATTCTATAAAATATATTTTACGCTCACATTAAAAAAGTCCTCATTGTTTGTAAAAGATTTTTTTTAAAATTTGCTAAATTATTAACTATAAATTACGTTGCTTTTTTAAAATTGAGATGGTTTGTATTTGATAACGTTAGATATTTCATTGTTTATTTCAAATTTAAAGAAAAATTTTAACAAATCTTGGATTAGGAGCTTACATCATTGTGATATTAAGATTAATAACTTAAAAATTAAATTATATCTTTTTGGTCAACAGCTTTATTCTATGTTCACATTAACTGAGGTTACATAGGAAACAATTTAAAAAAAAAATTATTCAACATTATTTTCCCAAATAATTAATCTTCGCTCTGTGCTTCTCAAAACTTCTAACGTTATATCATTCATTTTTTAGCATGTTTAATATTTTTATCTTATTTTGTTGACATATATAAATTCAATCAAACTACTTTAGAATTTCATGACTGTAAAAAAATGGAGACTTCGTGTTTTGACATTATTCTATTTATAATCAGTTTATTTTTGGGTTCAACTAACTTCGTACGTCACATTATTCCGTCGTCAGGAGAAATCACTGCCCTCCTAAAAGTTTTTATTTTTAAATTGAATGAGCATTCATATAAATGAAATCGAAAAAAATCCAACAACGTATGACAGGGTGTTAGCTGCATTTACAGTTGAAAAAGTAGTTTCCTATATACTTTACATTTGGCATAAAATTGGATGTGAATATAAAATGTGTGGCATGTTTATTTGAATTAACAACTAGAGATCTTCCAGTGTTGAGGTGTAAAAATTGTTTTTGTTAGGTTAGGACATTAAATATGGATATCTGCATCGTGTTTATCGCAATACAAGTTGTCCCTACTTAATTAATGTATTCAAAAATACATCCATACAACTTTAAGGAAAACAACAACAAAATGACACTTAAATTGAATAACATCAGTGAAGTTTTTTTAATAATTAATGAAAGATTTTTTTTGCAATAGAGCAATAATTAATAATATTAAAAAAATTTTCGGACGCTAATTGACCCCCTTCCCGTTAACTTTTGTAGCCGAAACTTGGCATGTAGATTAGTTGCCGATGACAACATATTCCATCAAATTTTCAGCCTTACACCCAACACCCTAAAATCTGTTGTTCCTTTTTTTTTTCAAGAGAAGATGAAGAAAATTTGAAAACATTGATTTCACAAAATAAGATTCATGATTAATGCACTAAATGAGATTTAGGGGGCGGGGGTGGGGCGGGGGCGCAACTTGGGAATCTTTTAAAATGCATTATATAAATGCATGTTTTTTCAAACTTTTTGACCCACTTCCCATTATCCGATGTTACATTTTATAAAGGATTTATACAAAATCTTTAATTTTAGGCGTGGTTTATTTTTTAATATTGTGTTTTATCGATTGACTTTCTTCTCTTTTTTAAAAAAAAAAAAAAAAATTGACAAGAATGACAGAAAAGACGCTGATCAACTAAATTATTTTTAAATAAAATAAATGTAAAATTAAAGGAAAATAAATGAAAAATTTTTAATTTTATGCGTGGTTTATTTTTTAATATTGTGTTTTATCGATTGACTTTTTTCTTTTTTTTAAAAAAAAAAAAAAAAAATTGACAAGAATGACAGAAAAGACGCTGATCAACTAAATTATTTTTAAATAAAATAAATGTAAAATTAAAGGAAAATAAATGGTAGTTAAAATTCTACAACAGTCATTTAGCCAAAACATTTTTTTTTTATTGTTCTGTTTTATTTTTCCGAGTAAATATTAACCCGTTCCAATACGTATTTACTTGACACGATTTGTACGCCATCCATCGTATAATTACGTTACACAAATGACTAAGAACTATTGCCATGAAAACGATTCAGGGAATAGAGATGTCAATCAATCCAAGTGTAAGTCCACGCTATTCCTTACTATGATCATTTTGTCAATTTTTTTAAAAACTCTGCTATTTTAAGCATAATTAAATCAGACGTGCGCATTTTCTCTTTTAACTTCTGTAGCTAGGTCGGCCCCGGGGGGGGCGGGGGTGGGGGGAGTAGGAGGAGGGTGTTGGGCGGTCTCTTCTTACAAGAACAATTTGCGTGGACTCTAAAATGTATCGTTTGTACTATTTGTGATTATCGCCTTTAATATTTCTAACATGTATGCAACAAATCTTCATTTGTTTATGAAATATGTGTTCCTTTCTTTAAAACTACAATTACTTATGGCATAATGTATCTCACAGAATAATCCTTGAAGCAAAATCTAAAGGAAAAAATCCTGACCAAAAAAACTTTTTTTTTTTTTTACTTTGAATTATGATTTTAACCTTGCATCACGATATTTTTAATAAACCTTAAATTGATTTAAAAAAAAAAATAATTTGGTCGTAGGACAAAATAAATGAAAAATGTATCTCACAGAATAATCCTTGAAGCAAAATCTAAAGGAAAAAATCCTGACCAAAAAAACTTTTTTTTTTTTTACTTTGAATTATGATTTTAACCTTGCATCACGATATTTTTAATCAACCTTAAATTGATTTAAAAAAAAAAATCATTTGGTCGTAGGACAAAATAAATGCAAATTATACCCATAAAAACTATGATGAATTGAAAAACAAACCCATGTGCGTTATGTTAGGTGAATATGGTTCGCTTTACTCTGAGACAAAATACTATTATCAAGAGTAACGTGGGTAATATTTTTTTTGGACACAATCAACTCAAAGTTTATCAGGCAGATCTTTAGACCACTTAAGGAAAGATGAACTAATGTATTCACATCTAGTACAAAGTGTCTAATCAAATCATGTATGCAGTGTAATAAAAAAAATAAAATTCATATATATGATGATAACATAAATAAGTTATAGTAAAATGTAGCACAAATTAAATGGCGTAAATAAGAATATTTCGTTTAAGCGAAACAAATGTTAGAAGTACAAAATAGTCTTTAAAAAGACTTGAAAGATGAATCCACATATTTATCTCGGAACAAATGCTACGTGTAAGCGAGATTTTCTTTAAAGAAGATTGTATAATTTTATAAAATCAAATTTTTTTCAGAAATATTTCACAATTTTAAACTATCCACTTTGATACGGATTAAACCTATAATCATTCGCTGTAATTGTGTCTTAGTGTTATTGATTATATAAGTGTGTGTATATCATTGATTTAACTATGTGTGTATGTATATGTCATTTTGATTATGTGTGTTTTCCTCTGTGTGATTTTTGAAAAGAGTTTTGGAGTTTAAAAATGTGTGTCTATGAGAGAGTTTTGGCGCATAGCCGTTATCTCTTATGATATACTTGAAGTCATCAACATCTCTATGATTTCCAGAAAAGGCTACTTAATCACAACAAGTGGCGAGATAGGCAGACTTTATCAAACAACAAATAGCAACATTCTATTTTGATAAAACTATCTTAACATAAGTCTTATGTTTAAAAAAAAAACACATATCATTGTGAAACTGATCATCGACGTAAGATGAAACATAAGTTTTTAAAGTATATATTTACTTAAATTACTTCAACACTGAACATCTGGACATTTTACTGCCTTAAATTTTAAAGTAAGTTGCACTATTATTTTCTGTTTTAACTAATTTTCAATCTTAATAGGTGAAATATCGTTTGTATCGAATGTATTTTTTTTTTAACAAAACGTTTTAGTTGATATAAGACAAAGCAAACGAACTAACAAAGATAAATAAATGTATACACATTTATATTAGACTTAGCTAACCCTGTGTTGGGCTAGCCGGATCATTTTTAATTTTCTTTTTAAGTAAATCTTTACAATCATGTTCAAAGTAAATTAATATTTGTTATGTTTTCATTGTTTTTATTTCAAACAAGTAACATAAACATATATATACATAAATACAAGTTCTCATTCAGGTGTTGACTTTCTGCTTGCGTCCGGAACACGGTTCATAAACACACACACTCTCTGTCCAGTCTCTCTGCGCATGCGCCCTATTTCCTGGGCTGGCTATCGGTACGGTCCAGTCCGCTAGTCCACCATAACACCTCCCAGAACAATTACAAGTCCAGTAACCTTGGTGCTCGACGTTGTCTTTGAGATCTTCTGGGTATGACATAGTCTGAAGGTCCTGGATGTCGAGGGTTAATCTTCTTCTTATGTGGACTTGGAGTTGCTGGATTTGTAGACGTTTGATGACTCAGGGTTGCCTGAGCTGTTGGATAAAGACTTCCTGTCATTATATCCAAACCTGGTTCTGAATCTTCTTCTGCTCCGTACCTGGGGAGAAGTTGGTCTAAATGTCTCTTCCAAATGGGACCATTTGGGTAAATCTTTACCTTGAAGAGACGTGGACCCATAACTTGGATGATTGTCCCGGGAGCCCATCGTGGTTTAGAGTCTGTTGCTGTTCCATATACTCTGACGTAACATGGAACTCCCCGGTTAAATGATCGACAAGGACTTCTGTTTGTCCCATTGCGTACGGCTATTTCTTTAAGATGTTGTCCCTGTGCTCGATGAACATGTGAGGGAACTAGGGTATCAATAAGTGTCCTTATTTGCCGAATGTTCAGCAGTTGTCTTGGTTCACGTGCTTTAATCAATGAGTTTTGATTAGCAATGTGATTTGTCCTTGTTTGAAACAGTGCGTCTATCGAAATCTTGAGGTTCTTTATCGCGGCTCTTCCCAACAAGTTTAAGCTGTGGTTTTTCACTACAACAAATGACAAATTTGTAGTTATTTCCCCTGCTTCAGCCTTTATCTGCACACTTCCCAAAACATTAAGTAGGTCACCAGATGCTGACTCGTACTTGACCGCTACTGGGCTCAATGTGGGTTGTCCCAGCTTTCGCCAAACAGATTCCGACATAAAATTTTCTCCGGCTCCAGTGTCAATTTCAAATGCAAACCTCTTTCCTTCTAAAATGAGTTCTTGAATAACGGGCGGGATAGTTTTTATTTTATTTTGCCTTCTTATTCTTTTGAGATGAATCGGTTTCTGTCTTGGATCATTCTCTTTCTTATTTAGCCAAACTCTTTCGAGATGTCCTCTCTTGTGGCAAAAGCGGCAGATCATGTCTTTATACCTGCAGACATTTCCTTTATGGCCTCTTACTCCACACCTGCCACAAGTTCCACTCGGAAAATCCTGTCTTTGAGATTGAGAAAATGTCTCTGCTGTCTGATGTTGCTTCTTTCTTTGTGTCTGAATTTTATTGATAGGGGTTTCTTCATGGACTGTTTCTTTGGCATATTTCGCTGCCTCCTCTGTTTCCTCAGCTATTTCAACTGCCTTGTTGAATGACAGTTCAGTGTCCTTCATCAGAAACAAAATTTTCAATACAGCCTCGTTCTTTACCGAGCACATGAATCTTGTTCGTAAAGCTTCATCTAGAGGATTTTTGATATTACTAAACTCACAAGTCGCTGCATCCTGTCTGATCCTAGCTGCCAATTCTTTGATTGTTTCCCCCGGTTTTCTACTAGAATCGGACCAAAATTTGAACCTTTCCCTGATTACAAATTTGGTGGAGTCAAATTGATCCATCATTATTCTATATATTTCTTCTATGTTCAAGTCATTTAACTTTTGTGGTGGTTCTTTCTGTTGTACGAGGGTTGACAACATTTTATGCAGTTCTGGCGTCTGGCTTGTTACAAAAATTTGTGCCTGCCTTTCCTTTGGGACATTATTTGCCAACACGAAGGTCACATATCTAGCGTAGTAGTCTGTGAACGTCTCCTCGTTACTTATGAAATGTGTAAACTTCATATTAGTAGTCGTATTACCTGTTGCTAGTTTCAAAAGTAGCTCGTTCTGCTGTATGAGCTTCTGGATAATGTCAGCTTGGGTCAGAGTTGACTCCATTGTGTATTTACTTCATCCGTCCCGTGAACTCACTCGTGCGTATCAAACTATGACTCGGTTGTACTGAGTTGTACTGAGTTTTGTATTGAGTTAATACTTGCCATCATACTGTGTTGTTGATGCCGATCGATACCACTGTGATGTTTATACTGGCCACCATTTTGTTATGTTTTCATAGTTTTTATTTTAAACAAGTAACATAAACATATATATACATAAATACAAGTTCTCATTCAGGTGTTGACTTTCTGCTTGCGTCCGGAACACGGTTCATAAACACACACTCTCTGTCCAGTCTCTCTGCGCATGCGCCCTATTTCCTGGGCTGTCTATCGGTACGGGCCAGTCCGCTAGTCCACCATAACAATATTTAATTACCTTATTACATTGTAAAATTAGGAGTGGGAAAATTTAAAAAAAAAATAAACAAAGAAAAAAAAATCAAAATTTAAATACTCCAGTCAGCAGGCCTGAACATTATACTTATATTGTGCCAGTCTGTAGGCCTATACAGTATACTTTGATTGGTATAGTCAAAAGGCCTAAACAGTATACTTATATTGTACCGGTCAGTAGGCTTATAAAATGTACTTATATTGTGCCAGTCAGTGGACCTATACATATGCATATGTAGTATACTTGCATTGAGCCAGTCAGTAGGCCTAAAAAGTATAATTGTATTGTGCCAGTCAGTAGGCCTAAAAGTATACTTATACTGTGCCAGACAGTAGGCCTAAACAGTATACTTATATTGTGCCAGTCTGTAGGCCCATAAATTATTATTACATTGGGAAAGTCAAAAGGCCTAGTTAGTATACTTGCATGGTAGGCCTATACAGTGTACATACATTGTGTTTGTCAGTAGGGTTATATAGTATAATTATGTAATATTGTAATGCACATGCGAAATGTATGTTTTGTAACAAACGCTATGTCCCATTTGCTCTTCTCACCAATTCAAATTCTTTTCGCTAAGTAATTGAGCTGTATATGTCATTTATAGTTTTAAATCCTTCCCCTTCTTTGAGTCGAAAGCCATTTTGCTGTCTACTAATGACAAATGAATTCAACACTTCAGTAGATACACAAAAGTAGGAAAACCAAAAGTGCCCTTTGCTCCCCCGAAAATAAAACATTTTGTTACGCCATTAACGAACCATTGTGTTGGCTTTTAGTTATAGCCCGCCAAACATTGGCGGTAGCAATGCGTGAACTTCCAATCATACACTAAAGTGACTTGACAAAACATGAACTCAAGTAACGCACATTTAAGAATCCAAATATTTGCTACACCCATCCCACATGATACGTCACTGCACACTTTTTATTTCACCCCCATGAATTATTTCACCCCCATGAAATATATTAATATGCTCATGTCCAAATCACTTTTAAACCGAATATTTTTAACACAACACTTAAATTGAGAAAATTTTATTTCCGAAAAGAAAATATTACGCACCAAACGCAATTGCTTTATTTTTAAAAAATATATATATATATATCATATATGCTGTAGTTATCAGGAATTATATTTTGTGCGCTAGTGAACTCGTCATTGAACCACACTCTGGCGTATCTAAAAATAGCCTGCGTGGTGTTTGAAACTGTTGGTGTTTGCCCTTTGCTTGCGAGTAATATATATATAGATAATAGGAACTTTGTCAAGATAAATTGTATACTATTAAATACTACACAATTATTAGAATGTGTATTAATTATTACCCCAATCAGTTTTATTGATATAGATCTTCGATTAGAGGAATATTCTGTAGATCTTATAAATCAATGCTACTTCTGTCAACTCAGACCTAACTAATGCCGTTCTTTTCCTTGCTTGGATTTCAAGTTGTTGTAGATCTTTTTCCACATCTTCCATTCAATCTAAGCCTAGATCTAGTCTGTCTTTAAGCAGATTTGCTCTGGGGTTTTGATTATGTACCCTCTTCACTCCTTTATCATATGGCATTCTTTCCAATGTTCCTACCAAATGTAGCCTACCCTTTTAATTTCTGCTGCTAGCGTGGATCCTGATTTAGACTGTACAGTTCATGGCTGGTTTGTATTCTCCATACATATTCAACCTTCATTGGTCAATATATTATATATTTTGTCTACAATTTTTTTAATGAAAGTGAATACGGGAGAAAGTTATTATTATTTTATTTTAATAATATTAATACCTACATTTTTGTCTTAATTTTGTGAACGGGTAGATGGCTCTGGAGAAAAATTAGCTCTCATGCACCTGATTTTTCATATTCATATACTTTTGGATACTGAACTCATAAAAATTACTACTTTTTTTTTCTTACATAAGCTGTAAAAAGAACAGTAACGTCTAAGGAAATTAATCAATTTAAGCCAAGCTTAGTAGCTATACCCTTAATAGTCCATATTAAAATTTTTGTCAATTTAAAAGTAATAATATAAACTTAATTCCGGGCCAATCTTAAATTCTCTGTTAATTTAGCTAATAATACTATAACTCTTGCATTTTTAAACGATTTCAATGGGTAAACTTTTAAAATTTCACTCCATCTATCAAACAAATGTTTCTTTAAGACATTTCCGCCTGGGGTGGGGTGGGGGGGGAGGATTTCAAATTTTTGGGCGGGGGCAGTGCCAGTGAGCAGTGTCCAGAGGCGTAGCTAAGAGGTGGCAGATGGGGCACACGTCCCCGTGGCACAGACTAGCGGGGGCCCCAAAAGAGGTTTGATGGTATTAAATGGTTGAAAATAATTAGTTTCAGAGATGGGGGTGGTGCATAAAATGCCCCTTGACGCCAAACACTCTAATAATGCCCCTGCAAGTGCCTTAGTAAGGGGGGAGGATAAGGTTGTCCCCTCAGGTGTCACTTTTTCTTTATATGGATTTGTGGCATTTTTTTCGGACAAATATATATTTAGACTATCCCTATATTAAACATAATTTGTGAAAATCTAATTTAATTAAATCCATGCAAATAGTTTTAAAAAAAGTAGAAACAAACATTTACACTCTTAAACTTAAGTGAGCTATTACAATATAACTTATTCTTCCATTAAAATATTCTTAGAATTTTTAATCCATTTAATTTCTAAAATTTTACTTTTAAATTGTACATATGAATTTATTGTCTCGGAAAATATTTATTTAAATGTTTGTTTAACCAATTTAATATAATGAGTTGAAAAGAAAAATCACGAAGACCCATGATTCTGTTATTCTGTTTTTCAAATATTTTGACATCAAAAAGTCAAATATTCCTCTTCCATTGCCAAAGAAATTTTTTATTAAAAAAAAAAAGAAAACAATGAGAATTTTAAAAAATACATCTTTTTGTAAGATGGTATTTGTTGGTGTGTTGCATATTTGTGTATAAATGTATACATATTAATGATTGAGGGTGTATATATGAATATATTGGCTAAAGTCAACATGTATAACATGAATGTATTTCTTTAACATACATAGTTACAAAAAATGGCCAGCAAGACACAAGCTCAAAGATTTATAAACGTCATAAATCAACAAATTGATATACTCAAGGGAGAGAGAAAAACTCTACTGAAGGCTGTAGACGAGGCTATCAATCAGGTAAGTGATTAATGAAACAGTTTTTTTTTTATATATTATATTTATTTTTAAGGTTAATATTTTGAAGCATACGCTTAAACTAAGAAATTAAAAAAAATTACAAAACTAAATTATAGTTTAATTCATAATGGCGTTCTTCATCCAGAATTATTTGTGTTACTAATTTATAAAATATATATAAAACTTACATTAAAAAACATACTAAAAATAAATTATAATGCCATCTTGTATCTCATGTGTAGGTACAAATTGAAATGGATGCCTGGATTAATGGCGTAATTGTTAATCAAACAACATGTGCCCAGATGAACAACAGAATTCAGCAAGTTACAAATCTGTTAATTGTTAAGTCTGTGGAAATTTCAGGTGTTTTATATATATATATATATATATATATATATATATATATATATATATATATATTAATATTGTTCACTTTAAATTATCATAATAAAAGCAGTCAAGGAGCTAATTATTCGATTCTTTTAAGTTGATTACAAATAATAAGATAAAACATTGTTATCAATTAAGTTGGATGCCTTTAAAGAAAATCCATTTAACAACCTTTGCTAAAAATGTTTCTGGTTTTATACATTTATTTAAAATCGTGATCGCAGTGTTTTGAATTCACAAAACTTTTTTAATTTCTCCCGGAAAACCCCCCCAAAAATATATATTGAAAAAATTGTTTTTATCCAAATTCTATTATAACTACACTTTAAAACATTCAGATCTAAAGATTACAGAAAATGAAAGTGATTTGACCAAACATCATATGCAACAAGCAATGATTCTATGTTTCCTAAAACCATTTACACAAAGGAAGAAATCCAAGAGAGAACGATGTTTAGTAGAGAAGAAACTCTAATTTCATCAGGTGAACCAATTTCGCAGAAGTATTTTTTAAAAATAATAATTGTAATTGTTTATATTAAAATGTATCCAATGGATTACTATTTGTATCAAATAATTGTCCAACTCTAATTTTGTCAATCAAAGTACAACGAAAGAATGTCAACAAGAGGTGAATATCATTATGGTGGAAGAAATAATTTACTGAATACAAACATGAAACCATAAATGTAGAGCCATTTATTGGACTAATCATTAACTTCCCTACCTTTGATTGAAAATAAATTCAATGCATTTAAATTTCTATTTACACACAGGTGTAGATAATGATATTACCACTACAAGATTTGCCATACTAGAGGAAGCTGTATCGTCTCTTAAAAAGACAACAGAACAAGTTCAAGAAAAGCAAGAAAATTTCAACAAAAGACTGGAAATATTAACAAACGCTAATTTAAAATCAAAGAAAAAAATTCAAGAAAGACTTACAGAATGGAGAAAACAAGCGAACAATTTTCCTCAAATGTGGATGATTTGTTTGAAACTGTAACAGATTTTGAGGTAAAATTAAACAGATTAGAAGATGAAAACAAGTCTGTTAATGTCTCAATGGAAGAACTCAATAAACAGATCAGCTCTGTTAGAACTTGTAACAACGACGCCCTTATTTCTATACAAGAACTGTCAAAGAGCGTCGAGAGTACAAATCAACATTACAATAAAATTTCCAATAAAATTAATCAGCTGAAAATATCCATAAATCTCATGTCATCTCAGTACACAGAGCAGTTTGAAAATATGTGCAGTCTTAATAAGGAAAATGTTGAAGATTTGGTAAGATTTTTTTCCCACTAGCGTCTTTTATAACAACGATCCTAGCAAATCAAATACATTTGTGTACGATTTAACTTAGAGAAATACATAATGCTTGAAAGTGTTTGATATAGAAGAAAACATAAATGTTAGACTAAAAAATGAAAGAAAGAAATGCATGTTTAATATACTACTTTATTTTACGATTTATATAGCGATAAGAAAAATAACATATTTTAAATGTTTCAGTGACCTGGCATTTCTTAACCTTGTAAATTTCTGAAAATTATTAACTACGAAACAATTCGGAAAAAATAAAATCTTTGCCCTTTCCTTGGATATACAATAAGTTAATTTGAAATATGCTGTTTATACTAGATTGGTTAATTCATCGAGTTCTTTCATACGTTGTAATACGTCGTATTAGCACTGAATCAAATGAAGTCCATTTTCTCTATAAGTGCAACTTATTATCGTATTAGAGTCACATACTGTTTACTTCAAATACACATTGTATGGCGCAGCTTGCTATCATAGAGAAATAAAACAATACCTTTTTTTCCCCAAAGTTCATTTCACAACTGACACACGACTAAAATTTACGTCACAAAACAGACTAGACAATATGTCATGATAAGCATAAAAATAAGTAACCAAGTCGAGCGCGGGAAGAACGCTCACTAACTAAACGAATCTCTCAAACACACACTGCGCGTAATCAAACAAAATATCCAATTATTAATGAACTTCCATACTCAAAACTTGGCCAATAGTTGTCGTAGGTAAAAAATATATTTTCATAAGTTTTGTAAGAAATTCCCAGTGTTGAAATGTTTTCTATATATTGTTCGGTCTCTGAACGTCGTAGTAGGTTACATTTCGTAAATGAGACCAGCTGATCGTCAAATTTCCGAGTGCAGCACTTCCGAAACTTCTGAAATACTATTTTATTTTCTTATTTTTTTAATGTAGGTGGTTTTGTATTATATAATAAAAAAAAGGAATATCGAAAATAAAGTGATAAAACAAGACAAAAACTACTTTTTAAAGTTAATAGCCCGTTAGATTTTAAAAAGTATGTCTCCTGAGAAGAGTTAAGCTTATTTTTCCTTATTTTTAGAATCATTCTCAAAATAAAATATTTTAAAATAAATGTTATGTTTTTTTTTAAAAAGAAAATTAAAAAGTTTTTATTTAATTTTAATTATTTTGTTGTTTTAGATGAATAATCCAATTATTTTTTAAATTAATAAGAGTCATTTAACAAACACAATTTTTTAAAACTATGATAATATTCGCTTGTGCATAGATTGGTATGGTTTGTCAACTGCTGTCTAAACGACTGGCTCCTCTAGAAACATTAAATGTGACCCTAAACAAGAAACTCATCTTGAGCAAAGAAAATATTTCAAAGGTATGAATGTAATTTAAACTAGATTTATTGCCCCTGTGTATTGTGGGTTATTATTTAAGTGAAATGTCTTATATTGGGCTACTCAAGTTTGACAATATCTCCTTTCCTTACATTCGTGGACATTAAAATTATACATTGTTCTGTAAAATAATTCAATTTAAAAAAAAAATTATTTAAATAATAATTCAATAAGTTTGTGTCTGGATAAAATACTAAGATACACAACATTATAAACAGAATTGCATGTTCAGAATAGGCAGTTACGCACGAGCAATATATTAAGCGTAAGCACGAAAGTGATCTTATATTCTCAGAGTATTAAGTTGCGTCGATTTTAATATTCATTTCAAATATTATCCAAACATTAAGCAATCCAATTTAGAAAGGAGGATGATTTTCGCTTCGTTTTAATTTGAATGTTTAAAATATGAAGAATAAAAAATCATTTACTACAATGATTGTATGTAAAGGTTAATTAGTATACTACACTTACAAACAAAATTTTGAACAAATTGTAATGGACCGAGGGTAAAACCAATTTAAACAACAATTGGTATCATTTGTTTCAGACTAATTGGCATAAATAAATGTATACAGTTTATAAAATTATGTTCTTATTTGCAAAAATTTGAATCATATTGTGTTTTGAAAATTAACTATTTTATTACCGTTGCTCTAATATGAGAGATAATTTAAAGAATGAAATATTTATTATTTCATGTTTTGCATAGGAACATTTTCTATACAGGAAGTTAGAGAACAATTATGATTTTAAAAAAAGTATTCACTTGTGCATTTGTTTTTTTTTTCTCTTTTTTTCAATATTTTTTTTCAACTATTGGAGAAATTTTGTTTGATAAAAATAGCATTTTAGTAAAATAGTCAGTATTGAAAAGTTCTTATTGACATTGCATGTAAAGTTGATATAGTTGAATTAGCCACAACCTGGATGCTAGGCGGGAAAATTATATTAACAAACTTGACGCAGTGCTTATCATAAATTTAATTCCATTCAGAAAAAATAAAGTTTTATTAAAGATAATATATCATTACGCATTAAGCTTTAATTTCTATAAAGTTTTAATATAGCATTCTTTAATAAAAGTAAATATCTTTACAATCTTGATCATTTTATCCATTTTTGAATGGCATAATAATTTGCATAGTTGATGTATTATATTATAATAAATTAGAACTTACTATGAGAAAATGATAAAGAAACACAAAACAAAAAAAATACAGATAAATACCACTTATGGAAAAAGCAGAATTTGATTTGCTTTTTTCTTTTGCAGGTAAAAAGTATTGATACAAAATTGGACGAAATATCTTGTAAAGTTACACACATTGGTAAGTTAATTTTAGAAATATATATGTTGAATGGAAGAAACAAATCCTTTTAATCTAACAATAAATCTATTACGAAAGACTCATGGTTTCTTTTTTTCCATTTAATCATTAATTTAGTCAACATCTTTCATAATGGCTTTTTTTACCCCCAAATTTACCATTTTCTTAATAAGAAATCACATTGCTTCTTTTGATTTGAGATTGTGAATATACGTTGACCCATAAATAGATATCATTGATTTCATCTAACTCAGAAGATGTATTAACAAAGCGGTGAATAGGAACGTAACGATTTCTAGATTTATTAATTAAATCTGAAAATTAAAGTTTACTTTAACTTAAACTCAGTGTGAGCCAATACAAAAAAAAGTAAAGAAATAAAGAACTAATGCTAATCACAATTTTCTTTCCGCACAATGATGTACACATTAATGTCTCACTGCGTAACTCACATAAGTTAAATGACTGATTTAGATTTAGTTTCTGAAAGTTTTTTTTTTTAAATTAAATTTTTATTTGTGTAACAGAAAGCAAATTCAACCAACCATCTCTATTATTCAACGCCTGGAAAATAGTAGCCACCAGACTTGGAAGTTTTAATATAGACCAGTTTACTGATGTCCCAACAAACTGTAGAGGTCAATTTGATCCGAATTCAGGAACATTCACTGCACCACTAGATGGTTTTTATTTAATAAGCATTCATGTAATTAGTAATCTATATGCACCATTCAATATTAAATGTATTCAATCTATGAAACGTTCAGCATTTATGTTTGGTAAATCCCATCAACTCTGCTGTGTATCTGACGAGGAATGTGTGGCGGTTTTAGTTGAACTAACAGCAGGAGACGAGGTATTTTTGCAATTCGAAACTAAGGTGAATAAACCCCAAAGTTTGATAAGGACTCAGTGTTCGTGTTTTATGATCAAATAATGAGGACACCAAAATGTCGATGTTTGCCGATGTGCTACCAAAACTAATATTAATTAACTCTTTATTATCATAATTAATACATCAACCATTATGTTTTACAAAGTTAGTGAATACCGATTTGCAATAATGCACTCCGTTTGATTTTTTAACAGAATTTAGTTTTTTAAAGGAAAGACAGTAGTGATACAAACAATGGCAATGGTCTTGGAATTAAAGTAGATCGGAAATGTAGACTAAAAAAAGGGACTTTGAGAATGAAACAACAATGTGAGTTATAAGAAAAATTGGTGAATTTGAGCTGATTTGTAAAGTACTGTCCAAAATTTCTGGCAATATATCATAGCGTTGTTGAATGGTTGGCTGAAGAACTGATGGATTTAAATAGCTGCAACTCTATTCTTGATATTTCCAAATTGTATTATTAATAATGCAAAACACTTTTAAAATGTTTGGTATGATTAATTATTATTTTGATTTTTAGATCCATTAAATACTAGCTATAATTTTGTCTTATTTATCGCCTCCGTCTTGTAGGTGTTGTTCACTTCTGGACAATTCTTATCCATTTCATAGCTTACTAAAGGATCACAAATATAGTTAATAAATAGGTTTATATCTCGTATGCATCTTTGTCTAGCTCAGAATCATAAATTTAAACATCCATAAAATAAATATTGAGTTTTGTGATACATTGTCACAATAACTGCAAATTTTATTCTTGCTTAATTTATTATTTCATCTATTTTTAATTAATCATAATTAAAAAAAAAACACATATATCAATTCATAATCGTTACTATGCAATTAAACAAAAAATGTGCATTAGGAAGCTAGCGTATTGTTAACTTTCTTAGCTTTCTGATTTGGTTAAAGAATAAACTGAGTTCATTTAGTTAAATTTATGTTAATGTAATGAAAAAATATAATATATAAAAAATATATTGCAACGATTATGTCTTGTAATAGGATTAGACCTGTCTTTTTCCCCTTCTTCTCTTCTACTTTATTTTGAGGGCCCACGATCCATGAATTGATCATTCTCCTATGTTTCAGGGGGATTCCCAATGTAACTGTGCATGGTTTTGAAGGGAATACTTCACTGATTGCAAGGGGTACTCAGCGATGGATATGAACTGAGGGTTGGAAAACAAGAGACGATAGATACACATGTGTTATTGTAGTCGCCTTAGTTGTTGCTTTTGGAAGCTTGTCCCAGTACCTTATTGTCTTTGACAGGAATAAAGAGCTCCTGTACTGAGTTCTTGCTTTTATGGGTCGGAACTGTCTGTCGTGGCCTCGTCGCTGTCTAGGGGGGAGATGGACGAGTTTCTGTTTAATGCTGGAGCAGTGGACCAGAGCATTTTTTTTATCTTGTACATCATGGAGAGCCTTTATGGTCATCGTCGTTCCTCTACTTATGACCAGACCAGTTTTTCCAGCATGCTGCCAACATTTGAGGTTTTTCTGTATCGGTTCAGGACTAAGCGTGTTGCCCGTCACTGGAAAGCCTCCAAATTGTCGTTGCTCTTCTGGGTAAATGGGACCCAGACTGAAGGTGCGTGCTCAAAAAGTGGACGGACAAAGTCTTTATAGTCATTTTCCTTCACGCTTTAGTTACCGATCTTCAGATTTCGCATTAGGAAATATAGATTTGTGTTTGCTCGGAAGCACACTTTGTTAATATGCTCGTCCAAGGGACATCTCTTTGAATAGAAACACCGAAGTACCTTACAGAAGAAACTGGTTCAAGAATATGTCCATGCATTTCGTAAGGGTGTTGTAGAGGGGACCTGCTTCTGAACACTGACAGTGTCTGGCGCTTGACGGAATGAAATTCCATGTCCCAGGTCAACTTCCACTCGGCAAACCGATGGGGGTATTGTTGTAGCTGGTCCTGGTCAGAACTTTTGGCGACAGTCCTATATACAGGCGTCTTTTCTATCATAAACAAAATAAAAATGAACATATTGTTTTTCAGAATGCATTTTTTAATTATAAACTTGCTTTAGTGCCACAAAATATTCAATTGGTTTCCTTAAATACTTCCAATCAGATTTTAAAAATTGTTACATTATAATAAACACAAATGCATGATTTGTGGCTCTAAAAGAAATCTTAATTTATAAAAATGGGTTTGTCTCTGTGTCATTAATTTAAACTTAATATCAAGTTGAGACACGCAGGCTGGCCCGAAAGAGCACTATTAAGGTCACCGACTGAGGTGCCAGAGAGTATTTCGAGCACAGATCGGTCTAGCAGTAACCCACCCTCAACGCTAACCGGATGACGCGATGGTCCTAGTCGATTTCGACGGACGAACAACAACGATTTAAACGAATGTAGTAAAGTAAAAATAGAAATATAAAACCTTTAAATTTAAATTAAATAAGTCAGTTCAATAGTATGTAGCCGAGTGGCAAACGTGGATGTGTCTTTGTTGGTTGTTGACACACTTTGACCCGGCTCGCAACACCAAAAACTGAAGCCGTGTGGTGAGTGACAGTTGACTGTTTAAAATATATATTCGGGTTATTTATAAAAAATCAAGAAATCTCAGGTCCTGAGAATTGAAGCCTTTCATTTGCTCTTTTACTATTGTATAGAAATGAGTGACAGGAGGGAACAAAAGCCTTAAACAAACTATGACAACCATAATCCTAAGAAAAATGACACGGTGGAAAATATACGAATAGTACTATTTAATTATATTCTGACTAACATTAAATTACATCGATAGCAATAATCATGTTAAATAACTCAGAAATAACAGGTTATTGACAACTAATCTTAACAACAATGCAGATTCATTGTAACCGTATGAAAACAATCCTACAAATGGCAATTATTTTTATAATTTTTAAGGGCAAATAAAAATAATGTGACAGGGTTTGACTTGTAGCACGTACCATGTCTTACATTCAGAATCAGAGTGAGTGACATGTGAGGGCTAGCATGCTGCTCTAGAATTTACGACTGTACTGTCGTCCACGTATGCTGTCCATATAAGATGCACTTATAGTAAGACAGTTACTAAATTTGTTTCACATATTTTCCGTGTTGGATACTATTGTATTAATCGCTTATCAGCACATTGCTGTATGTATGACGATAACGAGATAACGGTTAGTGTTATGCCCACGTACACACATATCTAATTCAATGTAAGAAAACAGTGTGCGGCTGTATGTTCAACCATCACAATATCCTGGTTACGAGTCAAATTGGCGGCGCTAGCAAGTGATTAAAACAAAATCTAATACAAATAATGAACAGAAATCTTCCTTTACTAACACATAACAATTACATTCTAAAAACGTAAAAATATCGAATCGTTCAAATGGTACCTTTGAACAATTTAGGAATAGGTTTAAACGGTTAATATTTAACCTCAATTTAGCCCTCAAACATACGTAAAAGCAGCTATTTCCGTGGCAAACAAGCCATGTATTCTGACAGATAAGTCATGTCTTCTGACAGGCAAATCATGTATTCTGACAGATAAATGCTGGATGGTCGAGTGGTCTAAACTGTCTCAAACCAAATAGTTGGTGGTCAGGAGTTCAATCCCCACCAAAGGCAACATCCCAGCGCCCCGGGTGGATGGGACTCGCAAGCCTTGGACGGCAACCCATCTAAGAGAAGGCAAACTCTGAATTTAAACCAGGAGCCAGAATGATCAACAAATTGATCGTGGGCCCCTCTAATATAAGAAGAAATAAATCATGTATTCTTAGAGATAGGTAATTTATTCTGAAAAACAAGGCATGTATTCTGAAAGATAAGCCGTATATTCTTACAGATAAGCCATATATTCTAACAGATAAGCCATGTATTCTGAAAGATAAGCCATGCATTATGACATATAAGCCGTGTATTATGACAGATAAGTATTCTGACAAATAAGCCATGTATTCTGACAGATAAGCCATGCATTCTGACAGACAATCTATGTATTCTGACAGACACGTCATGCATTCTGACAAGTCATGTAGTCTTACAGACCAGTCATGTATTCTGAAAGACAAGCTATGCATTCTGACAGATAAGACATGTATTCTGACAGATAAGTAATGTATTTTGACAAACAAGCCATGTATTCTGACAGATAAGCCATGTAACTGAAAGATAGGAAATTTATTCTGACAGACGAGGCATGTATTCTGAAAGATAAGGCATGTATTGTTACAGATAAGCCATGTATTCTGAGCGATAAACCATGTATTCCGACAGACAAGGCATGTTTTTGAAAGAAGAGTCATGTATTCCGACGGACAAGCCATATATTCTGACAGATAAGCCATGTATTCTGTGTAATAAAATCATGTATAAAATCATGTATGTAGATAAGTGCAATAAAATCATGTATGGAGATAGTGTAATTTAAAAAAAAAAATACAATTTGAAAACATGGATGAAAGTATCCAACAATGTTTCCATATATAAAACAAATATATTGTAAGAGTGTAAGAATGTGTGTGTACGTGGGTGTAAATGACATAACCGTTATCTTTTTCTCATAAGTGTTGCTATAAATAGTTCAATGATGTTCAAATAGGCTGGGTAATGCCTATTAGCCCGTAGATGTGCACACTTTAAAACACATATCTCAACCTACCCATTTTGATAACGCTATCATTATTTGTTTAAAATTTTATTTTAGCACTACACCATTGCTAAACATTGTAAAGCTTAAACACGGACGCGTCTCAATTTAAGGGGTCGGGAGATTATTATTGAAATCACTGCAACTCTAACTCACCATCTGGGCATTGCACTACATTACTATTTGAAAGTAAGTTTTTATTCTGTATTCTGTTTTAAACAATTTTAATCCAATGTTAAATACTCTTAAACTTTAATTTGTTTCAGGGTTACATTGATCAAAACGCTAGGCTAATGCCACTACAAAAAAAAAAAAAAAATTAATCAAAAGATAGGTAAATGAAGGAAAAACAAGAAAGTTTATATATATAAATGTTTTAAACAATTTTAATCCAATGTTAAATACTCTTAAACTTTAATTTGTTTCAGGGTTAAATTGATCAAAACGCTAGGCTAATGCCACTACAAAAAAAAAAAAAAAATTAATCAAAAGATAGGTAAATGTAGGAGAAACACGCAGGTTTATATATATAACTAAATGTTGTATGAGAGGTAAAAATGAAAAAAAAATACTTTTTAAAAAATACAAAAATTACCAGAAATAAATGTTAATAATTTGTTTTAGACTGAGCATATTCTGTGTTGAGCTAGATTTAAACTTTCTATTAGCTCTGTATATGGATTTTAAAAATCTTCATTTTTGCTATTGGTGAATGTCTTTTTTAATGGAATGAAATTTACGTAAAGTGCAGTGTGAGAGACAGATATATAGATAGATAGATAACAGAGAGATAGAGAGAGAATTAGAGCAAAAGACAGCGAGAGACAGAGAAATTCGGAGAGAGACAGATAGAAATAATAACGAATGTGATACAATGATGTTAATAAAAACAAGAGAGAGGCAAAGAGAGAGAGAGAAAGAGACTTGTGGGAACACGGAGAGTGACAGAAAGTTATGGAGAATTAGAGAAAATGAAAGAGAAAGTTGGAAAGAAAGATATAATAAAAATGAGATATAATGATATTAATATAAGACAAACACACACACACACACAGAGAGAGAGAGAGAGAGAGAGAGAGAGAGTGAGAGACGTATACATATAAATACGAATAGCGAGAGAAATAATAACAAATGAGATGCAATAACCATATTAAAATAGCGAAAAAGAAAGAAAGAGATAACGTTGAAGAGACTTAAGACTATCTTGAAGAGAGACCAAAAGTTAGAGAAACTTAGAGAAACAGAGAGAGAGAGAGAGAGAGAGCTGCCGATATTGTCCACATATGTGGGATGTTGAAGAATAATATTAGACAGTAATATTAAAGAGACACCTACTTAAGAATGCCTTTTATTCTGTCATGGGCATAGCTGTCTACAAGCATTTTCACTCTCACTCTCTATGCCCTTTTCCTTCTCCCCTATTTTTGTGTCTCTTTATACCACTATCAATTACTCTTTATCTATCTCCCTTTATATCAATCACTATTTTTCTCTCTTAATCTCTCTCTAACTCACTCTATATCTCTCTCCTCTCTACTTTGTGTTCTCTCTTTCAAAAATATAATCATCTGAAATGTTGATATGCTATAATAATAGAAAATAAACAGGTTCATGGGGGAAAATTTAGTTTTAAAAGTTTAGGAAGATATGTGAAGATAATAAAAGAACTAAAACTAAGACCATCGGTGAACGCTCCTTCTGCTTCCATGGGCCCACGTTCTGGAACAAGCTCCCCTTCCATATACGTCATAGTGAAACCTCGTCCATTTTCAAAAAGTCCCTTAAAACTCATCTGTTTAGGTCTGCCTATGACCTGTGATGCACCCTCCTTCCCCTACCTCATTTTCTGTTTCGGGTTGATCCTGAAGTGTCAAAGTGTCCTCGTTTTATAGCCATTTTCATTGTTTCTATAGAAAAGTAGTTACTATCCTTGTGTCTCATTTGTATTTACTTAGTTTACATGTTTTAATAATTGTAAAGCGCTTAGAGCTTTATGATAAGCGCTATATAAAAAAGCCTAAATAAATAAATAAATAAATAATAAATGGGCTGCGACATAGTGTGCCTTTGAAGACATGGATTTATCTTTTTAATAAAATATTAATAATAATAAACGGAACGGAATTTTCTGAAAATATTTCTTTGTCCTGAATTTATCGATGTCTTTGCACTGCCATCAATTACCACCATTAATTCATTGACAATGCACTGGCAATAATATTTATATGCGCATTAAGTTTTGCGCCTTTAAGATTTATTAATCTTCACAAAATCATGAACATAAATTAAATATGAGTTCATTTGTTGTTGTTGTTGTTATTAGATATCACACGTACTTTTCAACCCATACCCTTAAATCTGTAGTAATAATTAAGTCTTAAACATTTCGAATGAAAAGTTTTTCTCTTGTGAAAATGTAAGGGTTTTTCCCACAAGAATTTCCAATAAAAAAATTGTAATTCCCGATATTATTTCGTTTGTGTAGGTAAGAGGGTCTTCCACGTGATTCAAGGTAACTGACAATTTAAAACACTTGCAATAGATAGTTGTGCTAGCTCCTCTGATCTTTTTTAAAATATGCATACACACGTTAAAGTAAATTTAAAATCTTACTCACATTATTAATTGTATTAATTAATTAATTAATTATTAATTGTAGATGAATTGCAACATGTATTTTATCATAATGTAAATCTTAAATGCAATTTACTTCCGTCTAATTTCAACTTCACAATAGATTCATCCTTCAATAACAAGATGAATTCTTGTCCGTACTTGTATTTATATGTATGGTAAATTTAAATAATTAATTTTTGTATCATATTTATTTATACATAACTTATTTTTATTTTTGTTGTTGTAACTTTGAATATTTAAATTAACTGATCTCAATTCTGCTGCATGCAAATAGTAACAAAGAAAAGAAAAGTGGATACACTCTTAAATTTTTGTTTGTGATTTTATTTGAAACTCTACATCCACTTAATTATTTTTTAAAAATACATGTATTTTTTGTTCAAATATTGTATTTTTAAATAATGCAAATGTGTTTGATGTGTTGGGGAAATATAAATACATTTTTGATTGAATATTTGTATATAAAATAGTGATTTGAGAGGAGAAGAAAACGCCTAAATCCATGATTCAGTTGCAACAGCTAAAAATCATGTTGCCCTTGACAAGTCAAATAGGTCTCTTCCCCCTCCATGTAAATGTGTGTTTTGTTTGTGTTTTTATATATTTTTTAAAGATGTTGTTTGTTTGGGATTTTCCGAGCTCGTGAATGAGTGTATTTATTGTGACGATCTGAGGCTGGACTTTGTAAAATTACTTGCACCGAAACTCCGCCTTTGGAAACCCCTGTAAAATAATAACCTTCCCTTCCACTCGGTTTGCCCTGCAGTCGCATAGCCCGAGTGACTTTCCTTGGTGTTATTGCATACCTCTCACTGCAAAAGCCTGGATTTTGTGTTCAACCCCTCTCACAGATGAACCTTGAGAAAATAATACCCTCCCCCCCCCCCCCCCCCCCCCCTGCACAGGAGGCAGCAAATCGGAATAGCGCCCCTTGTTGTTATTTGCATTTCTACATCAGGAAGCTCACGCATAAGCGTGATTTTGGATTTCCCACCTGACCCCGATAAGCTTTGAGGGTAGAAGGTCAAACCCGCAACGTAGAAAGTGATTGTCATTGGATGGGAAAGCAAACAACATTTAAGCCACACAATTTAATCATCACCCAATTCGAATAAATAGCCAGAACAAGCAAGAATATGTCTTTTATTATTATTATCCCTTGACTGTGAACGCTGGAGATAACTACCCTAGAGACTTCATAAGCGTGTTCATTAACTGCGACTGCTACCTAGAGTACTAGTAAGTACGCAACCATGATTTTGATATTATGTCATTGCACTTGTATTGTTCATATAACTATGTAGCAATTATTCGTTCGTGTTTGATCTTATTCTACTATTGCCTATATTGCATTATTGATATTATTCATTTTAATATTGCCTTTGCCGCGGGCTACGACACACCGTCATCCCATCATGGGGGATGGTAGGTTGTTGTTCCAACTCGCCCATGTCTCTTTTAACGAGAAGACAACTTGAATATTATGTACCTATAAATTTAGTGTTTATCAATGATAACTTCATTAATTTAAATGCTTGCTTAGTCCAACATGGTTGCGAAGCAACATATGCTTACGCAGACAATGATCAGACTTATAAATCCATCCACAGATTGGCTGTATATGTACAAGCTATGTCACCTTCCACACATCGATCTGAATTCGTTGCTATTGGAAACGGGACTTATCAGCTTATGACTATTCGCTCCATTTTTGTATCATTTGCCTTTAGCCTGGTTTCTTTTACTTGACCGACTTACCTTGAAGATGGAACTAGGGGATTGATTTACGTCCTACAACAAAATATCCTACGGCTACTAGAAGGACTTCGAGATCCAGGTACCCTCACTACTACGATTTATCGCTGGAGAGTCATCTTCCCCATTGCAGAGATCCCACGGAATCTACGACCGGGCACTCCGACTTCTCTACGCTTGGAACAGCATCAAAGACCGGAACAGAGAACACACTTCTGGAACAGAAGAACTCCCACACTTTGTGATCCACCGAGATCATCACTGGAAGTATACAGGCTATGTCCACAAACTGTTGAACATTGAACCTTTATAAATATAGCATTAATGTTATGATATCATCAGTATGTTAGGGACACTTGCATGGCAATGATATAACTTTCTAATTGGATGAAATCCATTTGATGTATATATATTATATACCTAGACTGTATTACGGAGGAATTAGTAAAATTATTATTCAATAAATACTTATAGTTATTTTCTCATTTAACAAAGACTTGGATTCAGTGTATATTATATATGTATATAGATAGGTTGTTATGTCTGTTTGGTAATTTGGCTTAATGAACGCATCCCTAGACAGACTGCCAAGAGGACATCTCATACGAGAGATACACCTCACTAATAAATCATAGGTCAGATCACCACATTTATTTATACATTTGATTGTAGGTCTATATATAAATTTATTGTCTATAGCCACACAATTAACATTTAGGTAGTGTTCTCATTATCATTTATAGTAACCACAATGGCCAGCAGGACACAAGCTCAGAGATTTATAAAGTTAATAAATCAACAAATTGATTTACTCAAGGGAGAAAGGAAAACTGTCCTGGAGGCTGTAGACGAGGCCGTCAATCAGGTAAATCATTTTTGGAATACGTTTTCTTTGTTAATAGTCACAATTAACTTATTAGAATAAACCTTAATTCTAAAATATAAAATTTTCTACAAAAAATAATTTAATTTTGAATTAGATTTGTGTTTTAGATACAGAGATATTCATGATACTTATTTTAATTTAAATGCTACGTAAAATCTTCAATAAAATGTAAAACGATCGTTCTATTTCTGTGACCCCTAACAATGGAATTCTCTTCCACTACACAATCGCAATATACCGACGGCTACAGCCTTCAAAACACATCGCTTTAAACTCTACTATCCTGACTGATCGCCCCCACCCCCTGATCGCTAAAACGATGCTGCTGGGTAACCGCCCATGGCTTGACATGTAAATTGTTCTTGAATGTGTGGAGTGAATATACAATTGTTTTGTTTTATTTAATTAATACCTGTTAAATTTTTAAGTTCATGATTGTATGTGTTAAATTGTATGTACAAGCGTGGTGAGCCCTGCCCTAGGCTGGGGTACCACGCTACATAAAACCACCACTAATAATAATAATAATAAGAAGAAAAATTCCATTGCTTATTGTATCTCATGCGTAGGTACAGAGTGAAGTCGATACGTGGGTTAATGAAGGACATGTCAATCAAACAACTTGGGCCCAGATGAACAACAGAATTCAGCAAGTTATAAATCTGTTTATGACTAAGTCAGTTGAAATTTCAGGTAATTTATTGAAAAGATAGGACTTTCATATAACTATTTTTTAAAATATTTTATACATTAATTAATCATAATATAAGCATTTATGCATGAACTTTTTCTGTTTTTAAACACACACATATATATATGTGTGTATTTATTTAATATATATATATATATATATTTAATATATAAATCTTAAAACATTGTTATCACATAAAATGTGACGGATTTTTTTTTTAAAAAGTCATTCAGAAAACATTCCTAAAAGTAGTTCTAATGTAATAAACATATTCAAAATTCATGATCACAAGTTTTTATTTCACAAAACATTTATTTCCGCAAAAACAAAAACAAAACAAAAAAAACGAATAAAATATAATTTCAAAAAAATTAGATCCTATATTTTATTATAACTATACTTTTAACATATTCAGATTTAGAGATGAAAGAAAATGAAAGTGATCTGAACCAAACGTCTTCGGCAATTAGCAATGACTCTATAATTCCTGGAACTACTTACGCAAGAGACGAAGCACAAGAGAGAACGATGATGAGTAGTGAAGATACACGAAATAAATCAGGTGAAACATATTGTTATAAATATTTCTTTCCTTAATAATTGTGTTGATTCGTTAAAATTTAGATGTATTCAATGGATTGATAATTTTGAAGAAAAAAAAATTGTTAAACTTTAATTTTGTCAATTAAAACACCATGAAAGAATGTGCAAAAAATAAAAAATATTGGTGTTGTGAAGGATATATTTCAAACTTACGTTTCAATTAATCCCAAAGGGAACAGTAAGTACGAGATGATTATGAGACTGATCATTAACTTCCATACATTTTAATTCCATGGCTAAAACTTAATTGAAAATCTTTGTAATTTCTTTTGATTTACAGGTGTTGATATTCCTTATATTACCACTACCAGATTCTCCATACTAGAGGAAGTTGTATTATCACTTAAAAAGACAACAGAAAAAATTCAAGAAAAACAAGAAACTGTCAACAAAAAAATCGAAACTTTAACAAGCGAAAGTTTAAAATCTGACAAAAAGTTTCAAGAAAGACAGGCAGTGATGGAGAGATCAATCAGAGGAGTTTCTTCAAATGTGGATCATTTGCTAGAAACTGTAACAAATTTTAATGTTAAGTTAAACAGATTAGAAGAGGAAAATAAGTCTGTCAGTGTCTCGATGAATGAACTCAATGAACAGATCAGCTCCGTTGACGCTTGCAGCAATGTCGCCTATATGTCTATACAAGATTTGTCAAAGAGCGTCGAGAGTACTAATCAACATTTGAATGAAATGTCTGATAAAATGAATCAACTGGAAATCTCCATGAATCTCATGACAACTCAGTACAGAGAACAATTCGAAAATATGGACAATTTCAATAAGGATAAAGTTGATGATTTGGTAAGAGCTATTCCTTCCTTCAGAGTGTGTTGATAACAACAATCCCAATAAATTAAATATCTTTCCATCAGATTTAACATACAAAATTATTGAGAGTGCAGGATAAAATAGACTTAAAACATTTAGGCTAAAATAGAAATAAATAATTATAATACATTAGTATATTTAAAATAGAAGATTTATGTAGAGCTGAGAAGTATAAAATAGAAAAGAAATAAGAAACAAATTTGAGGAATACAAATATTTGTTTTTACCTTTGTGGTCAAGGAAAGGTGTAAATATACAATATGCGTTTTCAATTTTTTTTTTTCCTCTCTAAAAATGGTAGGAACCGGAATAGATGATAATGGCCTCTTTTCAGGGGGAAAAATGTAACCTTTCCCTGTATTCTGTATCTACTCATAATATTGTGTTAAGTTTTGTAAAATTGTGCAGTGGGGCGTCACATTTCCGAATGCTGACTAAAGGAAACAAGTGATATCCGAATATGTGCGCGTTTGCAAAGCGCATGCAATTTTAATATACTTAAAAAAAGATATACCGAAAATATATAGGTATAAATAATTTTTTCCCCTCAGTTTACAGCCTGCTATATTATTAACGCATTTCGCCTGACAATGGTTAAATGCATTATTACATCAATTTCGAACACACTTTTTTTAAATAAAATATGTAAAGTAAAAAAATAATCTGGAACATTAGTTTGAATTTGTTCCTTAAATGTTTTTAAAATATTCTTATATAAAATGTTTTTTATTAATTTTTTTTTTAAAATGATCCATCAAATATTTTTAAAGCTAAGAGACGAGCTCTTTAATATCTAGCGGTTTTTTTTTATTTCTGTTAATATTTGCTTTTTGTATAGATTGGTATGGTTTGTCAACTGCTGTCTAAACGACTGGCTCCACTGGAAACATTACATGAGACTCTAAACAAGAAACTCATCTTGAGCAAAGAACATATTTTAAAGGTATGCATGTACTTGTAACTAAATGTATTACTTGTGTATCGAGGTTTTATTTGAATTTAAATTGAATGACATAATTGAAAATGCTTTTGATTGACAATATTTCCTAGGTTACAGTCGAGGACATTAAAATTGGTCTGTAAATTATTTGAATGATATATAAATTATTAATGTAACGAAGGAAATATTGTCAATCATATTGTCAAATGATTTTTGTTATGTGCATGTATTGATCCATTGCTAAGGGGCAAAAAAAACCTAGCATGTTCAGAATGAGTAGTTACGCACTAATTTAAAACGCTATCAAGCCCTGATATATTAGGTGTAGGCAAGGCAAGCATCTTTTGAAGGAACGGCCTGACAATTTCAAAGTTTTAATAGCGTTGCTTTTCAAATTTATTACACAATTATCCACATATAAAAAAAATGAACTTTGCCAAGGTCAAGGATGTTTATTTAGCTGAAATGTAAACATTTATGTTATACAAGTGTTATTCCTAGCGATCAATATTTGTAAAGATATATTAATATATTACCATGGTACCACACTATCTAACGCCCTATAATGTGTCAAAAGTAAAAGCAATTTAAACAGCAATAAGTGTCTTTTGTTTGACTAATTTTTACTTCAATAAATTTATAATTGCGATAACAGCATGTTCTGTTGTGCCATAAACTTATATCATATTCCGTTGTTATAATTAAATATTTTATTACTGTACTTCTGATGCGAGAGAAGAATTAGGGATGAATACTTTATTACTTTTGAGATGCCGAGGAAACATTTTCCTAAACATTGAGATAAAAAGCAAGTATGATAAAGAATTAACTATAGGTATATGTACTTGTTTTTTTGTTTGTTAAATTCCTAAATTTTCTTTTTTTTTCCTCTAGATTGGATAAATTTTTTTTTGATTAAAAAGCACCTCAATAAAATCAATAGTCAGTATCTAAAAGGGTTTCGTTTTAGAATGTGTGTAGAGTTGTTGCCGTTTATTTAGTTATAACCTGGATGCTAGACAGCAAAGAATTATCAACTTTATTGACGGAGATAAAGGAAAAAAACATATGTAATATCGTTAGCATATCATATTCTATTATTAATTCATGTGTTGGATTCGAATACATTTTATTGATTTTATACTAGCCAATATAGCCGGCGTTGCCCTGGTTGATTTAAGAAAACCAACAACTTCTACAGCCTTTAAATTAAGAGGATCCGATCCCGGTTTTATCCCGTTACCCGATGTGAGCGTGTTTCCGGTGGGTTCAATTTACTTTGGGCTCCCGTCGTCATTACAATAAGATTTTAGATCTCATTTAATATCCCTCTATATAACTATATATAAACTTCCTGGTTATTCTCTTTAATTTGACTTTTCTAAGTAATTATTTTTTTTATGCGAAAAATAATTAAACAAAATGCACTGCTATATGTATAGTAAATTTACGTCGACAGAGGGGCCCCGACGGGGGCCCATTCCATGAGTGTAACGATTTAGTTTTGCCTGAGATTGGGAACCCCAATAAAAATCGGTCAGATAATAGATTTAAAAATCGTCCCATTAAAATATATCTAAAAATACCATAGATATAGCTTTTTTTTTAAATTATCAAAGTTCTTGAAAATTATAGATTGGATATTTTCAGTTTTAAATCCACCTATATTTCAGTTTTGCCTATGAAGTGTATTACTACAAAGCTAAGCATAGATCCATCAATTAAAAAAAACAACAACCTATAGTGATGTCTATGCCTAATTGGTATTTTTAAAGCTTACGTAAGGAAAAATGCAATTGTGCCCCCGGCCCCAGAGGAATGGATATTATAAGTTCAGTGCCATTCGGTATTTGAATATGGATAATCTAGTGTTTATGTACTAAGTTCGTTCAAGATCCATTTATTCATGTTGGTGTATTTGTTGATAATTGTATTTAAATAGCTCATGTACGAAAAAAAAAATTCGGGGCCAGCTGGCCCTAAACAAAATGCTATACAAAGTTTATAACCCCCCAAGAGTTCCTTTCGGATAGTTATGGATGCATGTGGTAACGATTCATCAATCCATATAATAACGTTTGGGGAACAGGCAAAGAAAGACATACATTTTCACATTGATATATATATATATATAAAACATACATATATATATATGATTAACTATCATGGAACCATGCAACAAAAAATTCCTAACCCTTCACCCAGCCCTCTCCCCCCCCCCCCCCACCCCCCCCCCCCCCCCCCCCAAAAAAAAAATGTTAGAATGGTGTAGTGATAATTTTATGTGCTATTTATTTTACAGATCAATTGTAGAGATGAAGAAGTGGCGAAAATATCCAGCTAAGTTGCACAGATTGGTAATTTAATTTGATATCTATCAGTTATATGTAAAAATAACAGTCTCTTTGAAATAATCTGTTATAATAGGCGCAAGGTTATTTTATTTATATTTCCTGCTGACAAAAATAATTATTTTTAAAAGACGATTTACTAATTGTGCCATTTTCTTATCAAGAAATCGCGATGCTTTGTTAAATCAATATTTTATCTTTATGATGAAGTTAAATCTATAATTGATATATTCAAATAAATTCAGAGGATGTACAAACAAAGCTTTTAATAGGAGCTTATAAAATATGATATCTAGATTTATTCGTTAAAAGAGAGGGAGTTTTTTTTTCCAAACATCTATATTTTTACTTTTACCGATATTAAAAAAAAAAGTAAAAGATTCACACATTATTCTCAGCACACTGTCGTGCACATAAACCTCTCATTGCGCCATTTCACCCATAGTCTTGTTACTTCTTTACATTCAGTTTATCAAAGTTTGTATTTGTTTTACAGAAAGTAAACTTGACCGACCCACTCTATAATTCAACGCCAGAGACATATTTGACTCCAAACACGACATAGGCACGCGTGACTGTGTTTCAGCTAACTATAGAAGTCACTTTAATCCATCATCAGGAATATTCACTGCACCACTAACTGGTTTTTACTTGGTAACCGTTGATACAAATGGAAGAACAAATATATATTTCAATATTAAATGTTATTATACTGTAGAAGATAGTCAAAAAAGAATAAACCATCTCTGTCAACTCTGTTGTGTTACTGTGTAACATGTTCAGTTGAATTAAAAGCACCTGAAGTATTGATTTTGCGATTGGAAACTAAGGTGAAAAAACTATATGGTTTGAAAAGGGAATCAGTTTTCACGTCTTATGATCAAATAATGTGGACAATTAAAATGTCCATGTTTGGAGTTGTGTTATCGAAATAAAAGTAATTACTGTTTTACTATAATATTGAATACATCGATGTCTGGGGTTAAGGGTGGGGAAGAAAAGTTGATATAATTTGTCACCCTTGTCAATGAGTCTATGTGTCTAATTTCAGCTCGATAGGACGACGAGAACTATGTTATTTAGACTTCGGAAGCTTCTTTTTCTCCAGAATTACACGAGCAAATGCAAATTTGATTTAAATTATTTAAATATTACCACAAAATTTACCATGAAACTAAAAAAAAAAAAAACAGAAATAATACGAAAAAATATTAAAAATTAATAGAACTGAAAGGGAAAGTACTAGTCAGAACGAGAACTATGTTATTTAGACTTCGGAAGCTTCTTTTTCTCCAGAATTACACGAGCAAATGCAAATTTGATTTAAATTATTTAAATATTACCACAAAATTTACCATGAAACTAAAAAAAAAAAAACAGAAATAATACGAAAAAATATTAAAAATTAATAGAACTGAAAGGGAAAGTACTAGTCAGAATTTCTGGCCACATACCACAGCGTTGTTGCCCGGGTGGCTAAAGAACTGTAGTGTCAAAATACCTAAACGTTAGTTGTTGTATATTGCCTTGTTTTACTATAAATACTGATTTATTTACTTTAAAAAATTGCTTTCAATAACTTTCAATTTACTAAATATATGTAAATTCAACATCCTAATAATATAACGTAGACTATATACAAATCTTTAAACAAATTGTCAGAACACAAAAACAAATTTGACAGTGGCGGTGTTTAAAGTTCATAATTTGTTAAGTGTTGTTCTATTTTCCATAATGTTTTAAATAGAATGTAAATCTGCTTCTTTTCTTTTCAAATGTTTTCATTTTTTTAAAGTTACTTTTTATTGGAGACTTATTACATAAATTGGGTTTACTTCCATTTATTTGCTTTCTTCTAATAAATTATTAATTCCATTTCTGGGTCAAAGATTTAAAGTTTGAAAATGAAGCAGTTGTGTGCATCTGTATTTTCTTTTAAATTTTCTTTGATTTGTATTAATGTAAACATTTGAGAAATAAAACTTGTTCTGAATTTCTCACATATCCTTTGTTTTCATAGTCAAAATAATTTTTACATCAATGAAATAATTTAGAAAACACACTAACACATGTCGGTTACTGTATAAACCTATCCTAAAAACCATATTTGTAAAATATCTTAAAATTCAAACAATTTTGGAAGAACACCTTTCCCAAGGGTAAAACCGCAAAACATAATAAAGAGATTAGGTCAAAACATATTTTAAACTCAAACACTGTTGATGCAGACGCCTCAATACTCTGCGAACTCCGTAAGCTGAACATGACGTGGTGGAAAAGAAAAATCAAAGAAAGTATTTTTAATAAATTAAGTTTATATTGTACATTGGGGAATAAATAACTTTTTGGTAAACTATGTCGTGGATTGCAATTTTTTAAAATCTCTAGAGCCATTTTTATCGTTGTTACTTTGAATTTTGAATGATGTTTAAGTGGGTTATTTTGTTGAGTATCGACAACACTCTTTTAAATGGTATAATTAGAATTGTTTTTTTTATTCCATCAATCGACTTTTCCTATTTAAAAGACATTTTAATTCTTTGTACAACAGGGTGAACCATAAGGTAAATGAAGCGAATGAAATAACAAGGCTGTAACAATATTTTTTTTTTTTGGGGGGGGATTAGAATGGTGAATACTGCAACAAGAATCGAGAGGCCAGAGCGTTTTTGTGAAACAACGCTAAAATTGCGATGTGATTTATATTATAAAAAAAACAAACAAATCATTTACAGATTTTAGTGGAAAGACACAGGCACACTAAAATGCAGTAAGAAAGGACAATCGGATTGTTCTGTACTTGTTATAATTATATTCGCTCCAAGCCCCATCACATTGCGATGTCGATGATCTTTTTTTCATCCTCCTCTTAAACCCTTTTAGTAACTATACAGCTAATATACTAGTCACTATTAAATATGATACTATTGTTATCATGTGTGCAAAACTTAAATGAGTTCGTAAAACTTTGTTAAAAATTGATTTTTTTTTCATGTGTGAATATGTATTAATTAAATAGATATAGCCAGCAAAACAATGCCGTTTCCTTTAAGCAAAGTCATTGGACAAAATCTGCATTCAAGTAACGCATTTTGTAACATTCCCAAATGCGACTGCCCTTTTATCTATATTAATATTCCAATATCCCAACCAATTGTCACACCACATATTTATTTCACGAAATATTTCCGTAAAACAAAAATGAAATAAAAAATTACCGACCAAACGCAATTTCGATATATTATATATATTTATTTCTACCATTTATTATTTATATATTTTTAAAAACATATAAATACATTCAACAATGATAACTCGAAACCACACACAAGTTTGTAGTTCATTATCGTTCTTTGGTTTCAATCAGTGGTTCATAACTAGTGCTCCACGGAGACCTAAGTGTTTGGCGTGCACCTCTCAGGGTCTTTCTTAAAGTGAAAGACACAGATTAAGCCTAGGGGGACGCAACATATAAAATGATTCTAAAAATTGGTACACGACTAAAAATAGTTTTTGAACTACTGTTGTAGATTATTTAAAAAATCTAGTTTAATACAGGGTTAGGATTTAAGACTTGCTATTAATGTAATTAATGATAGCATTGATGGTGACAAAAATTAGAAGCCACATTTAAAATTTAAAGAGAAGTGATAACGGGTTTTAAGAAGAGACAGAGCTAAGTTAAATTCTTTGTAACCAGAATTAAAAGTCAAGTTGGTAATTAACCTTGTTTGAGAAATTTGAATTAGAGCTTGTGATTTTTGTACAAGGGGTGATTATTTTAAAATTTTCAAAAAGTTTAATTAAGTTTTTCACCTCTTTAATTTTACACAAACAGATGTATTTACATTTGCAATCGATTTCTTTTCTTCTTCTTTCCTTTAATGCTTCTGATAATAAACAGTGTCGTCTTGGTTTAGAAAAGAAAAAGCGCATCTTTTCTAGATTAAATTAAAACCATCAATAGATAATCAAAATATTTTTATTTCATATGAGAAATGCAGCGGAAAATTATAAAGAAGGAAATTAGGTGGTGTTTATAAGGACGAGTCATTTCTATTTAAACGAAATGAAAACTTTTGATTTTATCTGTTAAGCGTGTGTGTTCCAGTTTAATTAGTCATACCATATCTAGATTGCTGAAGTCCGTAAGCCAACACGTTTGGAATTTAAATGTATTTACTGTTCACTAAAAGATTGTTATTTTTTCTATTGCAAATGTCACTATTATCATTTAATCGGCGTAATTACAACATAATTTTTTTCTTTTTATTTTCAATTTTTATCCTACTACTCAGAAAGGAGAATTTTTTTCAGGTTCTCAATTTGAATAATACATACACTTGTACAATTAAATATATTTGTTTTCTTTAAACTATACGGGCATGACTTAATGAATAAAGATTGATAAAAAATATAAATTATCTTCCTGCATGCTTTAGTTTATAATCATAGGTAGTTATAGCCTAAAGATACTTTAAAGCACAAAATATATTATTTCTAAAAGATTGCTATTAAATGTCTCGAGGATTTTTAAAAAAATCAGAAATAATATATGTATCAAATTTCTGCTTACAACAAAATTAAATTAATGAATGTTGTTGACTTTCGGATGGAAAATGTGTTTATACTAGCATACTTTGTTTATGTATATGCCCAAGTATATAACCTTTGACTACTTTAACCTAAAATTATTATACACCTACTATATTAAGTTCACCTAAGAACACGTAATTGAAAGTCAAAACCTTCATTCCGTCAAAAAAAAAAACAAAAAAAAAAACACAAAAAACAAAATCTGTTCAGGAACAGGAAAGTTTCCTTAAAATGACACATACCTGTTTAAATTTATTGTCAGAATGTTTATTGATTATCAGCTTAATTTAAAAAAATGTCATGGGATTTGAATGTTGCTTTTTTGCAAACACAAAAATGGTAATATGAATAACCTTTATTTATAAACATTTAGAATTAAAATAGCATCAAACGCCCAACCCAAAGAGAAATTTGAAAGTTATATCAGAAGACAGCTAGAAATATTATTGAACAAAAAGATGGATGATGTGAAAGAGGCTGCAGACAGTTATATTGATCGGGTTCGAGTAAAATACGAATTTAAAAAAAATTATAAGGACATTAGAGGAAAAAAATGACAATTTTTTTCCCAAATGTTAAAATATCATAATAAACTATACAGTTTTTCTTATTTCAGTAATACGAAAAAGGGACAATCTTTGGCAGATGGTGTATTAATTACGTCACTAAGTTTAAAAATATCATTATCAGCAATATAGATTTCATTGGGTTTTTTTATTGGTTTTCCGTTGATTCAGGATGAAATGTATATATGAAAAAATATAATTTAATTAAATAAAATATGCTATAAGTTTTGATAGCTACAGACAAAAGAAGATGCTCACATTTACATAGTTTTTAGGTGCACACGGACGTAGCTGCTTGGTTGAGTGGTGATCAAGTCAATCAGATTACATGTGAGGTGGTTTCAAGCATGACATAACGTTTTTCATAACGAAAATCTGTGGAATTATCAGGAAACTCGTTCACAAACCATCGCAAACCTGATAGCTTTAATTAAAGTTAAAATCTTCGAGTTTATCAGGATTCGTAAATGGTTACAACTACACTAAACAAAGTTAATACATTGAGGCATTTATATAACATTTAGTAATTTCTTGATTTTCAATTCTAATTTGATTTTTTTTTTCTTTAAATTTCAAATTTTAATGAACAGAAAAAAAAAACGGCATTCATTAAAATACTTTATAAGAAAAGCTTATTGTTATATATTATTTTTTTTAACCCTGCCAGAGAAGTTGCGTATATTAAGGAAGACACTGACTATGTTTTTCTTATGGTTGCCCCTCAGCATTTCAATTCGTTAAAAAAAATTTTCCGAATTGTGCCCAGTTTATAATTAGAAACCTTTTTCCCACCAATGCGACTTTGTATACTTCTGAAGTTTAAATATGCATACAAATTAATATCAAGTACAATGACAAAGGTTTAATTAGGAAAACAAATTTCAAGGTCCTCAAAAGTACGTGAGTGAGAATGACGCAAGTCAAAATGCTCTGAAGGCTTTAAAAAAAAAAAAGAAGAAGAAAATACGTCGCCAACAAAAATAACTTTAAAAGTGAAGAGTTGATTGGTCAAATGTAAGGTACCACTTTATATGTGCATATTTGTGTATTATTTTAATGTTTTCGTGCATAATCTTTTTGATCATTTCGAAAATATTTTCTTCCCTAAACACGCTCATTATAAAGTATACGCTTTGAATTATAAGCATATGATTTCTGTTGACATTCTAGTAAACTCGTTAGAAGTTAATTTTACGTTGAAATTGAAATTAACATAACATATGAGAGAACGACAGAGAACAAAATAATATTTCTTTCAAAACCTTATTTTTTTTTCATTAACTAATTGTTGAGAATAATTTTGTCTCAAAATTAATTACTTCATCACATATTCATTAGCAAGTGAAGAAGTAGAAAACGTTTCCACGAGGCTTGGAATCCGTATCTTCACTCATAAAAAAAAAACTGAACAAGTTTTTGAAAAACAAGCAAATCTAGGTACCATCTTAGAAGACGTTTCAGTTAAACAAGATACTATTAATAGAAAGTTTGAACTATTCGCAAGTGGACTTGAAAAATCTAGAAGTAAAATGAAAAAACGGATTGCAGAGCTGCAGGTAATAAGTAACGAAACTGCCGCAAAAGTTTACATTTTGAATGAAATTGCGGAGGTGAAAACCTTAAGACTTAAACCATGTCTGCCAATATAAAGAAACTCAGTGAAGATATACGCATTCACAGTATGTTTAATTGACAATCGCAAAGAGAGGTCTACACAAGTTTTATCAAACAGCATCGAGAGCACAAATAAGTGATTTGAAAATAAAGTATTAACAAAATATGTAGTTTATTAACTATTCATTTTTAAAGACAATCAGGGACTGGAACAAGCTTTCAAAAGGAACAGTTGAGGCGACAACACTTGACACATTTGCGTCTATTTGTATATTGGATTACAACTTTTTTTCTCTAAAATTGTTTAAAAAACTAATCTTAAATTTACAGCAAAAACTCTATATATTATAAAAGTATATTTTATATGACAGGAATTCGATATATATTGATATCTTCATTAAAAATTTAAACATATTTATGTCTTTAAAAAAAATTATATATTATCAGAAAATCGTAAAACAAAGAATTATTTTATCTAAAGAAGAATCTGGCAACCATTTTTCACGCCTAAAACAGGCTTGAGTACCTTTTTAGAAAATTTAAATTATTCATCTCATGAAAACACACACCTCTTTACTTTTTGCAAAGTAAAAACAAAATTATGTTTTCATTTTTTGAAAGTAAATATTTACCCATCTCTATTTTTCATAATTACTTTTTCAAGTGTGTCAAATGATTGGGTTTTGACATTTAAGGGTATGCTTATAAATTTAAGGTCATTAATAGAAGGAGAAAAATTAGTTTAGGAGCATGAAAGGGAGTAACGTAGGCGTATAATATATAGCAGATAAATACCTCTCAAAATGTAATGATGATAGAAACGTAAACATCTGTATATTTTTAAACTTATGGATTGTGATAATTTTTTACAATAACAGTTAGAAATTATCGCAAAGACCTACCATTGTTATACCGATAGCATCGGGTTATTTCTTCTAGTATTGCATTGGGCAAAATGAACTTACCCGTTTTGTAAAAAGAGAATGCAACATCTCTTTTTCACAAATGTAATACCATAGGACTTAAATATATTGTCATCCACGTGAAAATGTAAACATCCTATTACCTTCCTGCGATATGAATGTACTCAAGAAGGTAGATTATTTATCAAATACACTCCATTATTTTGAGATTTATCTTGTGCAGCCTTAAGCAAAATGAACATATAAATATTTATAAAAAGAGAAAGTGGCATACCTTTTTCCACAAATGTAATACCATGGGATTTAAATATTTTGTCATCTTCGTAAAAATGTACACATCCTATATCCTACCTCTGATATAAATGTATATACCAAAGAAAATTAATTATTTATCAAATTCATTCATTTATTTTGAGACGTATCTTGTGCTGCCTCGGGAAAAGTAAACAACCCCTCCCCCCCCTCCCCCCCCCCAGAATTAAATATATTTAGAAAATCTTTCACCGGATTATAGTCCTTTCCATACCCAAACTAACATAGTTTGCACTTCATATGGTTCGTTATTATTCGCATGAGTTATAAGTGGATTAGTGAATGCTATTTGGCTATGGACGTGCGCTGCACTGATTGGCTTGAAGTGCATTTTCTTATTAGAATTATATTTAAAGGTTAGAATTTATTACTTTTAAAAGGGAAAATCCATTATCAGTTTTGTCAAGCACGGTTATTAAATTTAAAGAAACCTAAGAGTTTTGGCAAAATAGGCTATTAACGCTATGACGTCATTGGCGTTATTATTTAGAACAAATTAATTTGAATTTTATTTCGCAATATTAACAACGCACTAAAAGACGCACTAAAAACTACTGATGTCTAGGTTTTCCCGATAAATGTGATTACGGAGTGATTCTTAAAGCATGCTTTTTTAAATTGTATTTTTTATTTTTGTTCATACCTTTCAAATACATATAAAATGCTGAAAATAGTTCCGTAGTTGATACTTTAAATGTATTTGTAATTTATATTAATAATATTTAAAATTTAACTTAAATAAAATAGGATTGAAGATATTTTTTTGCACATTTAAATTTATTCGATTTCCTTAAAATAATAGAAAATAACTATGATTGTTTTTAGGAATCCGAACGTACATAAAAAGTTCTACATTTTGGCGTTATGTGAACCTAGATCATTATTATATATATGTATATATATATATATATATATACATATATATATATATATATGACATTTATAAATATTGAAAACCCCAACCCCAGATCAAAATTGACATGACAACTAAATAAAGAATGCGAATCCCTGAATAATATAGACAAGGCTCTTACTACGTTGGCCGAAGACTAACTGAGTGGAGATGATAGGTTAGAACGAAACGATAGAGATACGATAGATAGGTTAAGGCACGGGATGTCTTTTCTGTTTACAATTAAATGGAAAATACCGATTGTATTTGTAAAGTGTGTGTGTTATTTATCGTCATTTTCTTTCATTTTAATTTGTCATAACATATCAAGGTTGCTAAAGGATGTAAGCTGCCTATTTTTTAAATTTATTTTTATTGAATTTAAACTGAGTGCTCTATAAGATCATTAATTGCATATATTGTAGATTTCCCTGTATATCATTTTCTCAACATATTTAAAACATAACAAATGTTCATGTGAACATTTTTTTTCTTTCACTTTCAATTTATTAATACTCAGAAAATTGTTTTATATGGTCAATAAGAAAAAATCATACACGCTACAGTTTAATATTGTTGTTACCTTTAAACTATTTTGGAGATATATTTATGAAATAACATAGAAAAAAAACGTAAATTATCTTCTTGCATACTAGACTATACGTTATAGCTTAATTATTTAAAGGCTAAATGTACATTAAACCATCAAATATTTTTATACAAAAGTGTTTAAATGTTTTCTTTATTTCAAAAATCATTAATTATTTGTGTATGTAATTTGTGATGACCACAAAGGTAAAATTAATTGGTGTCGTTGGTTGTGTTCATTTCAGCAGACTTTGTTTCTGTGTATGCCCTATTATATAAAATTTGACCCAGTTAACCTAAAATTATTAAACAATTGCTATAATAATTGAACCTAAGAAATTTTTTGTATTGAAAATGAAAGCCTGTGCATTCATTCCGTGTTAAAAATATGTGATCCGAAAAGTTTCCGTACAATGATACATACCTGTTTAAATGTAGTGTCTGAGTATTTATGGGTTGTTCGATTATTTAAAACAATAACATGGGAATGAGCTCATTGCTATTTCAATAGCAAAAATGATGATATAAATATATATATATATATATATTTTTTTTTTGGTCTAGATTTTAAAATGGCATCAAACGCCCAGCCTCAGGAGATATTCGAAAGTTATATCAGACAACAGCTAGAGGTACTTCAAGAAAAGAGGGAGGATGTTAGCACGGCTGCAGACAATTATATTGATCGGGTAAAATAAGAATTTTTATAATTGAAAAGAAAATTACAATAGGGGTATTGTTTTTCAGAATTTTTTTTTAAATACGTCATAATGTTAAAATATCCAATTCGTAAATCAATTTTATTATCAGTCATATTTCGATATATGATAAAATTATATAACAGCGATGATTTAATTCAACGAAATAAAATATATGTATTTGATTTCTACTGTCAATAATTAATCTGCTTACATCTAAATAATATTTAGGTACACATGGACGTAGCTAATTGGCTGAGTGGTGATCAAGTCAATCAGACTACATTTGAGGGTCTTTCTAACAGAATTCAACAAGCAGTGACGTTTTTCGTTACAAAATCTGTAGAATTTGCAGGTGACACTTTTACAAACCTAAACATCCCCTAAAGCTAAATTAATGGTAGTTTAAATCTAAAAGTTATAAATGATACGCTGTTTCACATAAAAAAGTAAATAATACATTATATATATATACATATAAATATATATATATATATATATATATATATATATATATAAATAGATAGATATATATATATAGATATATATAGATAGATATATCTATCACAATATTTCATTTTCTAACAAATTTATATCTTTTAAAAAAAAAAATAAAAAAGTAAATAATACATTATATATATATACATATAAATATATATATATATATATATATATATATATATATAAATAGATAGATAGATATATATAGATAGATATAGATAGATATAGCTATTGCAATATTTCCTATTCTAACAAAGTTATAACTTTTCAAAAAAAAAAGTTATTTAATAGTTTAACATTTAATTTAATACTATTAAAGACAATCGTTATGTAAGATATCATTTGGTGTACACTAGCAGGGAAGTTGAGTGGCTTTTCCAAATTGGGCCTCTTTGAAATTTGAGACTCTCTACAACAACGCAGGGTCTGCAAGCCCCACTCGTTGACTTTGTACACACCTGAAGTTTAAATATAGGCCTACACACACTCTCTATTTTAAGTAACACTATAATGTCTGAATTAAAAATATAATGTTTAGGTCCTCTAAATAATGTGATTGAAGATGATGCTAGTCAGATTCCGCTCCCACATGCATGCGTGTCCAATAGTTCTCAAACGGAGAGGACGTCAACAAGTGAAGAATTCATTCGTAAAAAAAGTAAGGAAGCAATTTTTATCTGCCTTTTCACTGTATTGTCATTGGGTATCCACACATAAAATGCTGACAATTCTTAAATTATTTCCTTTTCAAAATATTTTTATTAAATTTAATCTGCTTTAAATAATAAATTCCGCTTTATTTAACATTCTAATAATCACTTTAGCAGTTTATTTTACATTGAAATTTTGTGGAAAAGTCACATATAAGATAACTGTAGTGTGATGCATTGTTCATATTAAAACTTTTTTTTGTTCCCCCCCCCTCCCCAATTATTCATTAATAAATTGTTACATAAATAGCGTTAAAATTACTTCCTTACATTTTCATTAGTAGGTGAACAAGTAGAAAATTTCTCAAAAATAATGACTGCGAGGTTTACCATACTAGAGGAAGCTGTATTATCACTGAAGAGAACAACTGAACAAGTTCAAGAAAAACAAGAAAATGTCAACAAAAAACTGGAAATATTAACAAAGGTTAGTTTAAAATTCAAGAAAAAAAATAGAACGAAGAAGTACAGTACTTCAGAAAACAAATCATTAAAACGTACTCATAAGTGGATTATTTGTTTCAAACGTAATGAAATGTTTACCTGAAGTTAAACAGAGTAGAAGATGAATATAGGGCTATCGGAGTATCAACGAATGAACTCAATAAACAGATCAGCTCTGTTAGAATTTGTTACAATGACGCCCTTTTGTCTATAGAAGTTTTGTTAAAGAGCGTCGAGAGTACAAATTAGCAGTATGAGGAAATGTCTAATAAAATGAATGAACTGGAAATCCCAATTAATCTTAAGTCAACTCAGTAAACTGAGATGTTTGAGAAAATGAGCAATCTTAAAAAGAATATAGTTAACTATATGGTAAAGTTATTTCCTCAGTTATGGTTTTATAACAGCGCTACTAGTAACCCTAAAAACGTTCTCTACCATTTATTATTTATGTCTCCATAATTGTTGAAAGTCCAGATAAAAAACTTGTCAAAATAAAATACACACAAAAAATATATATATATATATATATATATTATTAACTACATCGGCATGGCTAATTCCATCTGGTACGGTGAATAGAAAAAAATTAAATGTTGAAAGTAAAATCAATAACTTTGTCAAATAACTGCATCATTATAAGATATATCTAACGCTGACAATAATAAACAATATAAAATATAATAATAATTAAGAAGTTACAATATTTTTGTTAAATGCCAGTTTTGTTACATTGCAGGGATTTTTTTATTTTTGATTGGCTTAAGTTTAAAATATTCAGATTAGGAAATAAATGTAAATTCATATGTAGACAATTTTAACAGGTAAAATACTTAATTATAATTATTGGAAATAACATTTTACCACACTGATTATCAATGATTATCCTTTGTTTAAGTCTTGTTAAGGAAAGTAAATTTTAACTGCAATAACAAAATGTTTTTTTTTATATCCATAAATCGTAGCATATTCTGTTTTGATCATTAATTATTGTACGACTATAGTTACAATATACCAATTTAATATACAATTTTCTAAAAAAAGAAACAACACGTCTTGATTATGTTAATTTAATGAACTCAATTATTTATTGTCGTATCTATTTTAGACCATGTCTCACCCATTCATCTTTTGATACATATTCTTTTAAATTGTAAATTTACTGAATTAAATAATTTGGTATTTACTTGATCTTTTTCATTTAATAACAAATTAGAAGTAACAATGAGAAAGTAATAAGAACCATTCAAACAAAATTTCACAAAAATGGAATTCTTCAGTATAAATTATAAAGCAGGCTTTAATTTGTTTCTATATTTTGCAGGTAGAAGCTATTGATACAGAATTGGCCAAAATATCCAGGAAAGTTGCACAAATTGGTAAGTTCATTTTAAAAAAAAAAATATGTTGAAAATAAAATAGAAATACTTTTAATTTAATAATAAATATCTCATGAAAGATACTTGGTTTCTTTAAAAAAAATTAATTCATTACAAGAATTTTTTAAAATTAGTCATGACTGCTTAATTTATTCTTCTTTTGCTATTTTTTTTTTAAAAATAACAATGCTTTGTTGAATTGAGATTGTGTCTATATGACGATGTTATATATATCATCAACTAATTTCAAATTCAAAGGGTGAACAAAAAACAAAAACTTTGAAAGTAGCTTATACCATTTATTATCTAGATTTATTGACTTTAAAAAAAACACAGGGAAAATTTTTATTGTGTTAAGATTTTAATTAGTATTTTTATCTTGATTTTAAATTGGTTAAATCTAGAAACAGTGAGAGAAGAAAATATTCACATGTAACTCTATGCACATGGCTGTTTGCTTAGAGAACAAGCTACGCAAGTCACCATAGTAACGTTACTGCTATAGAATTAATTCATCATATGTTCTTATTTTTTGTTTGTTTTACAGAAAGTAAAGTCAACCATCCCACTATATTATTCAACGCCTGTAAAAAATTAAACCCCAGCCTTGGATGTTATGTAGACAAGTTTGATGATGTTTCAACCAACTTTGGAAGTCATTTTGATCAGTCTTCAGGGGAATTCACTGCACCTCTAGATGGTTTTTATTTAATAAGTATTAATATATTTGGAATACCTGAGGGATCATTCAATATTGAATGTATTCAGAAGGTGAAAAATATGCAATTTACATTTGGACATTCTCGTAAACTCTGCTGTGTATCTGACAACGAATGTGTCACATGTTTAGTTTCATTAACAGCAGGAGATAAGCTAGTTTTGCGATTGGAAACTAAGGTTGTAACACCCTTTAGTTTTATTAAGATTGAGTTTTCATGTTTTATGATAAAAAATTAATAATGAGCACGTTAAAATGTCGTTGTTAAATATACGTCAATTATGTGTATACCCTTTAAAAAAAAGATAATAGTGATACCCAAAAATGACGGCGAACTTCAAATAAATTAGATCGCAAATGTAAAAAAAAAAAAAATATATATCTGTAAAGCTACAATAATAACTGAAGTTATACGAAACAAAATGGTGAAAATCGATTGAGCTGACCTGGGGTGTACTCGCCAACAACATTGACCAGTAACCACAGCGTTTTTTACCGGTTTGATGAAGAAGAGATGGATTTACATAGCTGTACCGTTATTCTTGATTTTTTTCTTGGTTTTTTTTTTCAATAACTAGAAAATATTACGTGATGTTAGCCAGATAACAATGAAGGCACTTTGCGATAATTTACACCTGCTATTTCTTATTTTAAAAGGCATCATCTATGTAATGATATTTATGTTTCTAATCTCATAAAAAATCGTGAAAATTATTGTTCTGCTATATTTTATAACGCCTACACAACTTCTTTTTGTGCTCCTAAAATACATTTGTTTTCTCTCAACATGACCTTTAATTACCAAATGTAAATGAATACTAATTAAATTATTAATTTCATTAAAATAATTCATTGACGGCATATTTATATGCTAGAGAAATAATCTAGATGGCATATGTTTTTAAATTGTTAAATGTTGGGACTATTCCATGACTTTTCGCGCCCCTACACTAATTTTTGCTTTCTATAAAATGTTATATTTTAAACTTAAATTTACAACAAAAACTCTATATACCATTATAATTTATATATTTTATAGTAACTGATTTTGATTTACTGACATCTTAATTAAAAATGTAACCACACTTTTGTTTTAGTTTTCTAACTATATTATTGGAAAATCTTAAAACAATGAATTCTTTTATCTGAAGAAGAATCTCTTAACCGCTATTCACGTCTTTTACAGCCTTGGGTGTCTTCTTTTATTACAGAAATTGTATTAATCTCAAACCAGTATACACCCACTTTACTTTTCATATATATGTATGTATGTATATATGTACTGAAGTTTTGTTTACGCCATTGGTTTTCTCAATTGGCAAATCTTTGTTTTATTTGTAACATGTTCTTTTCACATTTGTTTTATCAATGGATATTAAGATATTGTCAAGAACGTAAAATGCACACTCCCTAATTCCTACCCCCGATATGTAACCAAGAAGTTTCATTTTTTTATCAAATTCACTTCCTTATTCTGAAGCGTATCTTGTGATGCATGTGAAAATTAAAAGGATCATCTATAAAATTTCCCACCCCACCCCTGTCTTTTAAGTCAATTAATGTAATCATCCACGGGATTGTAGCTCATCCTTTGCAAAAAGTAAACATTTTTAGCACCTCATGAGATTTTTTGTTATTTAAAAGGTGAATTGAAAAAGTGGATTAGTGAATGGTCTTTGGCTATAGATTTTCGCTGCACTGATTGAATAAAATGGCATTTTCTTGTTATAAGAACTAGCGAGAACCCGGCATGTGTTGCAATGCCACTCAAGGAAAAAAATGTTTGTGTTTTAATTACGTTTTTAAAGTAATTTTTTAAATAAAAAATGTTGTTTTTTTCAGTCTGTTGCGTACACAAATAAATTAAAAGGTTTTTGGACAATTGACAACGCACCTCACATGAGAAGCATGGATTTTCAAAAATAATTTTACACAATAAATCGAGCCTCGTGATTGGCAGGGTTGTCTTTCTACCAGCGAATCGAATTTATTCTTACATATTCCTGCACATTCCGGCATAGCAATGTTGGCCCTCTTTGATGGTGAACTAGTTTTATTTGTGTGCAGGATTTTGTTTGGATTGTTACATTGTGAAATTCGAACATGTCTGACTGTGACTCTGATTAAATTGTGCTTAGTGATTCTGATTTCTCGATGTCTAGCAGTGAATCTGACACTGATGAAAAAAACCAGGAAAGTAATGAAGACAATCAAAATGATTATGTTGTGAATCCTTGGTTTAGGATTAGGGGTTCTGAATTGGATAGAGATGACCCCTATGAATTTTTAGAAAAAATAGATCTTATAAGTATGCCACATGGGATAAGCACTCTGTTGAGTACTTTATGCTAATTTTTACACAAAATGTCATTCAAATGTTTGTGAGAGAGAATATTAATAACTACTAAGTATTGTTACGCACTGCTGTCTGTTGTGAGAAAGTAATCTCTTATTTTATGTTTACGGCTTCTTCTTAACAGTGCATAACAAAGCACGATACCATATGAGGAATACAACAACAAAAATACGACACTCGAATTAGTGCTAAGTAAAATTAATAGAATTGATATAGTTTTCAAAAATAATTTAAAAAAACAGAAATATATATAAACAAAATCATCAACTTATAGAGTATGGTAGGTATTGTACCGGTACACAGTTAGTACAATGTGCCAAAAAAATAAGGTACATTGATCAATATTAGTAAACGCAAGTAACTAACTCTTGTCTCGTTAAGTCAAAATATCATCCTTATCGTCCAAAAATGAATCCCGCTTTTATATTCTACCCTACTGAAAGATCTTGAACTGCCTAACACATTATTTACATGTCTAGTTTACTCCCCAACTTTCCACTCAATTCCATTTAAACATATTAATTATTTTTAGTTGGTAGTTGTGGTGAAGTGACTTATGATTTATAAGTTAAGGGTATCTCTCGTATGAGATCTCCTCTTAGTACTCTGCCTAGGGATTCGTTAATTTAGCCAAATTATCACACAGACATAACAACTATCTATATACATATAGTATAGACTGAAACGAAGTCTTTGTTAAAGGAGGAAATGATGACAAGTATTTATTGAATAATTATATTTACAAATTCCTCCATAGTACACTCTTGGTGATTAATATATATATACATCAAAGGGATGTCATCCAATTAGAAAATTATATCAATGCAATACAATTGTCCCTAACATACTGAAGGTATCATCATTATTAATGCTATATTGCTCAAGGTTGTATGCTTAATCATTTTGGACTTAGCCTTTATAGTTTCACTGAGGATCTTGGTGGATCACAAAGTGTTGGAGTTCCTTCTGTTCCAGAAGCGTGTCCCTGTTCCTGTCTTCTGAGCTGTTCCAAGCGTAGAGAAGTCGGAGTTCCCGGTCATAGAATCCGTGGATCTCTGCATTGGGGAAGATGACTCTCCAACGATAAATCGTGGTAATAGGAGTCCCTTGATCTGGAAGTCCTTCTAGTAGCCGTAGGTAGTTTGGTGTAGGACGTAAATCAATCCCCTAATTCCAGCTTCAATGTAAGTCGGTCCAGTAATAGAAAATAAAATGAGTAAAACGGAGTATGGTTAAACCTGAAAAATTAAACGCAAAAAAACAGCGAAAGTGTCGGCAGAAAGCCTTCGTCAGCGAACAAAACAACAGAAAAAACGTTATAAAAATAAGAAATAGCACTTAGCTGGTAAGTCTAAGTAGTATCTGTGGGCAGCAATAGAAGTGTGGCAGAAGGAAAATGAGTGAGAGTTTAAATAAGCAGCGGCGAAAAAAAAGGGGGAGAAAAATGTTCACTGTGATAGGTCAGAACGTGGAGGGGCGGAGCTAGGGTCAAGCTGTGAACAGAGACATAACATTAATCCCATCTGGCGTCAAAGTGCCGTAAGTCAGGATAAGTCTGTGTTCCAAATTGACCCGGCTGGCGGTGTTAGTGCTAGCCACAATCGCACTTATTGAAAAGTCCGCCTTGCCCCGGTGGTCGCTACTATTGAAGTGTTTGGAGACGGGACACTGTTTATCTTGTGTAATGTTTCGGAGGTGTTCGGTACACCTGTCCGAGAGACGGCGTCCAGTCTCCCCTATGTATGTCATCTGACAGCGGGTGCAGACAATGGCGTAGATAACGTTGCGGCTTGTACAGAGGAAACCGTCGCGTATCTGAAAACTGCCCTTGGGGAAACGTATGCGTTCAGTCTGGACGACAAAAGGGCACGTGTTGCAACGACTGCGTCCACACGGCTTGGTCCCAAAGTGGGAGGGGGGAGCATTGATACGACTGCGTACAAGCAGGTCTCTCAGATTTTTATCCCGTCTGAAAACAATGAGAGGTGGGGAAGAGAAAATTTCTCGTGTGTCGGTGTCTGCGAGTAGTATAGATCGATGTTTAAGGAAAACACGTTTAGCAATCAGATTGTGAGGGTGATAAGTTAAAATGAGTTTTGTCCTGTCAACATTGTCGCTCAGACGTGGTCTGAAGGCATCAGCACGTGTAATATTCTTAACCCTTTGGAGGGCTGATGAAAGTACTGTCTCCGGGTAAGACCTACACCGGAAAAAGTCTATCATTTCAAGTGCCTTGTCCCAAAAGTCCTCATCCGACCGACAAAGTCGACGAAGACGAAGTAATTGAGAGAAAGGAATAGAGTCCTTACAGGATTTAGGGTGGGATGAAGAGTAGAGTAGATAGCTATGGCTGTCAGTGGGCTTAAAGTAGGCAGAGGTGTGTAGGGTGTCTTTGTGAAGAGTGACTGTAATGTCTAAGAAATTGACTGAGGTCTCAGAGATAAGAGATGTGAATTTAATGGAGGGGTGAAAGGAGCCTACAAAGTTAATGAACAGGTCAAGTTCACTCCTCTCCATAGTGGTGACCCCTATACCATCATCTATGTACCTCTTATAGAATTCAGGGAGGCGTCCAGTATAGCTGCTTTCGACCAAGTGTTCGAAATGCCCCATGAACAAGCAAGCATAGCTGGGTCCCATTTTAGTCCCCATAGCAACACCACTGATTTGGTCAAAGAATTGGCCACCAAACTCAAACGAATTGAGGGTGAGGACTAGTTCAGCCAATCTGAGGAGGGTGTTGGTGGGTATAGATGGGTGGGGTCTAGTCTCGAGAAAGAATTTGAGAGCTAAGAGACCGTCAGTGTGGGGGATGGAAGTGTATAGAGAACATACATCAAGAAGAAATAGATGATGTTTCTTTTCAGGAGGGATTATGATGGATTCAAAGGTTTGAAGAGCATGGTTGGTGTCCTTAATGTAAGTAGGCAGTGAGGCAACGATGGGTTGAAAAACTCCATCAAGGAATTCCGAGATATGTTCGGTGGGGCAAGAGCATGCTGAGACAATGGGTCTGCCAGGGTTACCATACTTATGAATTTTGGGAAGTAGGTAGAAGCATGGCTTACCGAGGTCACTATCGAAGATGTGTAGGGCAGAGGCCGATTTGGGGAGCGCTGATTCTGCAATCATTTTCTTGATAGTCCCTTTCACCATGTCGTTATGTTTGGTGATAGGGTTGTTGGTCCTCGGTTGGTAGAACTGGCTGTCTTCTAGTTGCCTATGAGCCTCCTTGATGTACAGATCTCTGTCCCACACCACAACAGCTCCCCCCTTATCAGCTGGTTTGATGACGATATCTTTCCGACTGCGCAGCTTAGAGAGTGCGAGTGATTCTCTTTTAGAAAGATTGGATTTCCGGAGTGGAGGTAAAGAGAGGTTCTTGATGTCATGTTCCGTGCTCTTTAT